AAGGGGGGGGGGAGAGATAAAAACGGAAATATTTATAGAGAGAAGAGTACTCGAGAAAAATGTGTGTGTGACACGACGACGAACAACATACGTGATGCACGATGCGACCGTAAACGTGTAACTTGCGGCGGTCAACGACTGCCTGATTAATTTAATCGCGTTGCTTTTTTAACCCCTTGATTTATATATATATATATATATAAATAAATATATATATATATATATATATATATATATATGAATATAACAGATACACATACACATAGAGACAGATGACAAAAGCTTTCCAAGAATACAGCATGTTATTTTTACTTACTTAATCCGCACAAATTTTACTTTACGGACACAAATCAGTTCCTGTAATATTTGTGACACTTCGAGCTATAGGAATACATTAAAGAGGTTCACGTTTAAAGAGGCTCTCGTTGAGAAATACCCGCCACTGTGTGTGTTTACAAAATAACACTCTGCTATCACACATGTATAAATATTACGCACGTCATTATGTGCGTACGTAAAAAGAAGTGTATATTCTCTCGATGTTTCTTTTTTTTTCATTTCATTCGCGGAGATTTCAAAGATCCTTACCAGGGGTGTGCGAGGGCTTGTTTGCAGGTGTAACGCTCATCAACGTTGACGCACATCAGCTTGTGAATGAAATCCTTCGCAGACTCGCTGATATCGTCCCAGTACGGTGAGTCAAATTCAAATTCACCTACAACAGTTCGGTTAGCTCTTTCCTGTAGAGTGCAATAATTTCGACGAGTAAACTAATTCAGTTCAATTAAGAATTCTCTCGCGCGCCCGCGTCGTAATATCTGTGTGAATATCCGCGAAACTAAATCAAGCGCGAGTAGCTCCGCAATTAAAAATAGAAGATTCCGCTGCACGAACAGATCTTTTCTATCCCTGTGCTCGACACCTGGCGGTATCGCCTTCTTATATTATTACGCTAAAGTCGCGCAGGATATCTAATATTCAAAAAGCGATATTTCAAGTGAATTGTATCGTTCTGCGCTCTTTCTTGTCTTAGTCCCGGTCTACAATAAATATTTTAAGCTTTAAACCTTAAGAAATTGACCAATCGTAGTTAATTATTCTCTTCACATTCTATAATTGGTCAATTTTTTAAGGCTTAAAGCACTTTTGTAGACCAGGACTTGTAAATAGTAACTCAGATCGGAGCAACGGGCTTTACACCGCGCGAAACGTAATTCTGGAAGTTGTCTCGTTACCTTTCAGTATTTGTGCGAATAAATTGGCGTCGTTCTCGTCATAAAACGGAGGATATCCGCACAAGAGGATGTACGAGATGACCCCTATGCTCCAGACATCCACTGCTTTGCCGTACGGCTTCTGTGCCAGAACTTCAGGTGCTGCGGATTAGTCCGAATATAAAGTTTGCATCAGTATTTAAAATCCGCGTTTCTTCTCTCTTTCTATATAGTTTTTTTTCTAACTCACCAACGTATCCCGGCGTACCGCAAGCGGTCGCCATAATCCCAGAATCTTCCATCTTCGATAGGCCGAAATCGCTGATCATGATTTTACTGTCCTCATCTGGACTATAATATAGGAGATTCTCCGGCTTCAGATCTCTGTGAACGACACCTTGGTCGTGCATATAGTCAACTGCCTCCAACACTTGTCTTATTAAGCCGGACGCGTCTTTCTCTGTGTAGGAACCTTTCTCGACGATTCTGTCGAACAGTTCTCCGCCAGTGACCCTAAGATGCAATGTATATTAGAATATTTACCTTCGTCCTCAGTACTGTCAAAAAAAAAAAATGTCCAAGAGTAACAGGAAAATATCTTTACGATACTTACAGCTCCATAACTAAGTAGACTTTATGTTTATCCTCAAATGTTTCCAGCAACTGAACAATATTTGGGTGTGTTAACCTGCAACAGCATCATGTTCCTCTGATTTTAATCTATCACACGCGTGTCACGCAGTCGTAAGAGTTCGATAGCTTTGTAAAATAAAAGTACAAAAGAAGATATATATCTTATATGGAAATATGTACATCGTACGAAAAAAATGTATCGTATAAAAATGTTATTTCCTTTTGCAAATATATATTATTTAAATTTTTTGCTGCAGCTAGTTATAATTAAACTATGCGTACGTCTTATGGGTTATTAATCAATGCATATATTAATTAACAATCTTGAACTGGCAAAATAATAAAATTATAATAAACTAATATATAGTAAATAACGTTGAACAGCAATGCAGAATTAGCTTACAATTAGCCTGGCGATATTGCATACTATATCGAAAAAAAACATGCTTCAATAATTATTAATGTTCTCAGTTATATCTTACTTATACTTGGCATACAGATTATTACTTATATACAGACAATCACATTCACGTAGAAAAGAGATAACTATTTACAAGATATTGTACAGCAGCGTTAAAGCAATTTCTACTAAATATGTACAAGGATCTGAAATATATGTGTAATATAGATTGCACATTTTATATATTATATATTAGCTATAGAGAGAGAGAGAGAGAGAGAGAGAGAGAGAGAGAGAGAGAGAGAGAGAGAGAGAAAGAGAGAGAGAGAGAGAGAGAGAGAAAAAAGCTTGCATTGTATAGATTATACTGAAAAAAAAAAGGAAAAAATATCAGTATTATTAAGGTCTGTTAGAAATATGAGATATAAAAGAAAATATTTTATACATCGCAATTATCTCATATAATTGCACAGAGTAGAAAGCTCCTCAACTTATGTGTCCTAAATTATTTTCTTTTATAAAACACTCTAAAATTTTATTTATTTCAATATCTCTTGTACATATTTCAAGTTACACTATCTCGAGATGCGTTCATTAAACGACTAGCTTGTCGCCATGTAAATCTTCTCACAACATAATTGATATAACTCGTGTCTTGTCTGAATCATGTTAATACTAGAAAACAGCGTGCCGCATGAATATGCTCTAGGTTCCTCATAAACAGAATAATGGAATACGTGTGAAGAGTATTTGCATTATGTAAGACGATCTTTCATCCTCAATAAGATGCAGAGTTTATAGTGACTCATTCGAGTGGTTATTTTGTTTTTACATTAGTTTTAATCATATAGATTAAATGTTCATGACAGCAGATCACAATGGTATAATTTATGATAGAAAATATCCAGTAATAAGAAGTATAAAGAGACTTAGAACAGCCGCATACTATAGTTCAAAACGCAAAAATGCAATAAAAATGATTTACTATGTAAATACTGTAATTTTAATGATCTTATGTTTTTGCAATATAAATAAGAACTTTAAGACTATTTAGTTGAAAAATTTAAATTCCTTATAAAAATTAATATTTTTAATATGTATGTCTTAACTAGAACATACAGGGAACTATTATTACGGTCACTGTTACAATATTTGTATATTATTATTTAAAATTTATATTATTATTTATTATTTAAAATATATAATTTTGCAACATGAACAGATTACAATTGATTAAAAAAATAACATTATCATTTTTTTAATCAATTGTAATCTGTTCATGTTGCAAAATTATATATTTTAAATAATAAATAATAATATAAATTTTAAATAATAATATACAAATATTGTAACAGTGACCGTAATAATAGTTCCCTGTATGTTCTAGTTAAGACATACATATTAAANTTAAAAATTTTTGTATACCGATTACTCTCAGAATCTCAAGATAATAATAACTTTAGAGAGTAAATAATGTGATAAATTGTTATTATTTGAAAAGTTACACATAGTTGCAACCAAATATAAGCTGTTTATCTTCATTGTATATCATATTATATGCTGATAACAAATATATTCTCAAAAGTTCCTTCATTTCATAGGGAAAGTTAAATTAGAAAATTCTCCAAGTTATAAGCAGTTTTATTATATATATAATTTTAAAATATTTAATAATCATTCATGCTTTTTAGACACTTCATTTTATACATTACAGTATATTTACAAACATACATAAATCGCGTTATTGCATTTTATTATTCAAAAGAGATTCTGAATTTTGAAGTATTGAAATTTCCATACTAAAACTTAATTCATTCGTGATATATTAAATATTTAATGTTCAGTAAAAATATTTTGAATAGTTTTAGCAAAAGGGCGTGTTATCCAATTGATAATAGTTCATTAATAGGAGATTATAAGATACAAATTTCACAAGTTTACAACAAAATTGAAAATTGCATCTTTGACGCGTTTTTCTGCATTTCAAACCACTGTGTGACGCACGTCTATTTCGAAATTATCTGCGAAATGTGAATCTAATAAGTTTTAAGGCGTATACGACGTTCTATGTAAAACATAGTTCAACACATAAAATATAAGAAAATAGTGAAATAGTTTAAGACCAATATTCATAATCAGATCTTACATATAAGACCGTCTTAAATTCTTCAAATGCTTCGTAGCCAATGAAATGTATGCCGTACAGCATCTGAAGACGAACTTAAAACGATCTTAAATATAAGATCCAACTAGGAATACCAGCCTAAGAAAATAAGCACGTCACTTTCTTATTTTGTTTCGTTGTACGTAATTGGTTGCCGCGGACAAATTTTACGTACATCTCTTTCTAACACTGGGACACACAAGCCGATCGATATTTACAGACGGATACATGATATGATTGTCATAATCAGAATCCACACTTTCGATCGATTTTATACAATGTTCCTTGTCAGTTTGTTTATAAAGAAAATGCATTTTTATCATACATAAAATAACACAGTTTTGGGCTCAAATTTGAAAAATTGCAATAAAATGTAACGTATTATTCACATGTTATATTGCATAGATTTCTTTCTATAAATATTTATGGTTATATTATGTCAGCATACATTTTATTTATCGTGTAAATGTATGTGAATAATGTCCATTTAAGTCGTGATCAAAATGTACTTCGTATGTAAGCGCACGTATCGCGCATATGCAAACGTAGCAGATTCCCCATGAATTATTTCCTCATTCTGATGACATTAATAATATCTTATCATTCATATCGTCGTTTTATCCAGAGTGGTTCCGCGTTCGAATTCGATAAAATGAAACGATTACATCTCGATTCGTATCGCACAATACTCGGACTCCACTTCATAATTAGAGTCATTATCTAACGGCTGTCGTCGAAATCGTTATATCTTGTCTCGTTTAAAAATACTAATTAAGAAGGTCGTTTCAAGGCGTGATTACAAGCTCGCATAAGTATCGTACTCGTATGTTTTCACTTAACGAAAGGTGGCAAGGTACAAGGATACCAAAACTGTGTTCAACGCTACGTGATGTGAACGTGCACAGAGATCATCGTGTATTTATAATATATAAACAATATATAGACGATCTGAATCTGTAACAATGTATGGCATCGTCGAGTGATACAGAATACTGAGCGATACAGGTAGTTGGTGCCCGTGCTTAGGCCCACACTTACCATTTTCTTTCGCCACTACTATCCGACTTGAGCGATCCATCACCACTCTGTGGTGTCACACTTTCACTGAACCTACGAAGTATAATAATACCATACACAATTACGTAATATATATCGAGAGCAGAGCTGTTCGCTTACTCGTGCGAAGTCTGAATTTTTCTTATCTTTTCTTATTCCCTCCCTTATTCTTGCCTTTTCCCCGATTTTTATCTTTTTTTTTTTGTTATTGACAACTCTGTTTCCCCAATACGGTGTGAAATGTGGAAAATAAATTTGTCTAAAATACGATATCGATGTGTGCGGTAGAAAAGGAAAGAGGTGTACAGGTTGAAACACACAAACGACAAATTAACTCAAATCAATAAACCCTGGTCTTCCCGTTGGTAAATTAATAATTAGCAACACGGTGCGATAGTTAGTGGCGTTGTGTCACAGTGACGAGTAATACACGATCGGAAGAAGATATGATCTTTCTCTCTCTCAAGATATATATCAGACAATATGTTAAAATTCCACATATGCATGCAACGTTTTTGTGATAGGGGAATAATTTAAGAAGTAATGATACCTCGTAAGGTGTCCTTGAATATAAATGTCGCGACCTCGATGTGATTAATATGATCTATGGAACAAATTTCCAATGACGAAACAAATGAACAACGTGTACATGTGTATATACGGATGTGTGCGTGTGTGTTATGTATATGAGTGATATAGCTTGTACTCTCGCGGTGATGATCATTTGCAATGGTAATTTAATAACACAACGGAACTCTTGAGTATTAAAATAATTGTCCCTTTTTTGTACCGAACTACTGACAACTCTTTTCCAACGCGCTTCCCGGCCAAGCTGAGTACACGCGAGTCACAGAGGAGTTATAGAATAGAATCGGTAGGAGAAATTCAATGCTAACAAACATTGAAAAGTACCACTTTAACACATATTCATCCACTGTTAAAGAGAAAAACATCGTAGATAAGACATCGATTCAAGGTACACACGACGAAGGAATTGCGACAGGGTTTTTTTTTCAGCGTGTGTCAGGTGTTTCCGAATTACGTTATCGATAGCATCGAAACATAATATGTAGCTTGTACGAGGCACATTATTTGCATACAACATTAAAGATAACAAGAGCACAGACGACAGCCATCAGAGCTCACTCCAAATGCCATATCAACGCTTCCGAACGAGAAGACTTTCAACGGTGGGTGTTATTGCCGAACAAAACTCTAGCATACCATATATATAGTCCACACAATATTACTGTATAAATGAGAAAGCATAGCGATCGTAGAGATCGTAGATTAAAGGCGCAACCCGCTTTCCCCAAAAATGATCGGCATTGGATCGGAAACAGAGGTACCGGACAATTTATATCACGACTTCCGGTAGGGAAAAAACGGCGCGACAGAGGAATTCTGAAAAGCAAAGGAACCAATAATCCATAATACCTTCTTAGCTTCGTATGCTTGCACGCAATGCGCTAAATGGTACAAATGAATCTGTCTGAGATGTGTACGCAGAGCGCTCTATAACAAGAGGAGAATATAAAGTACTCCAGGAGCGATATGATTCATTATACATATGAAGCGTTTGTTAAAGAGAGGCATGCGTTTCAACTATGTCAAATGTGTTGATCCCAGCGACAATAGAACTGGTTACTCAATATCTCAGCCAATTATATCAACTTTCCGAACGCCTAAAAATATATTTAAGGGGCCAACTATGAAACCAAGAATTACAGAGTACTGGTAAAAAGTTCGTCTACTAAAGAAGAGGATATCCAGCTGCCGGGATCGCTTTCGCGCCCTACCTTCGCAGAACTTTGATTTCGTTCTCTAAGGAGTCCTCCTTGCCCTTTAGTGCCTTCTTGTCGATGATCTTCACGGCAAACATCTGGCCGGGTTTCTCCTTACTCTCCGCCAGCCTCACCTCGGAAAACGCTCCTCTGTGAACAAAGAAGAATGCGATATATTAGGCACACAATCAGATATGCTCGGTAAATCAATTTGCACGGGTGAGTTTACTTGTAATTAAAAGGCTCTCTCGGGGGCGTAACTTCTTAAGGGGATGCCACGACGGGGACAACCGCCGACGAACTTGATAAGCGTCGATAACGTAGAAGCGAAATATTATGTTACATAAACATTGACACGATCACGACGCTATTCTGCTTGCATTCCTTATGCATACGGATCTTGCATAAATATTAATGCGAATAAGATGAATATGCACTATTCTCTTACCATATTTAACAGGGAATCTAACCAAGATATATATATATATATATAATTATTTCTGCAAACTTTTCGTATCTTTTTAGGCTTTTATCTACAGTCCTGAACAGAACGGTTATAACACTTTTTTTTTGGATAATTTTCGAAACTCATCCCAAATCCAATAGGAGAATTCGTTTCTCTGTTATTCTCAAAAGATACCATTTTCCTGTTGGATGCAAGATGCGTTGTAAAATTCATAAAAAAAATGTCGTGATCTTTCTGTCCAACAGTTGTAAAGGTACAAAAATATCGTTCGAAATTTTCCTCGTTGTGCAAACGCTCGGTATGTGCCCAAATTTTTCTTTTAAGTAAACGTTTACTCTGCTTGACAGATCGAGATTTCGGTTTTGAGATTTCTAATCGTTTTCGTCGCACAGTGGACAATGCTCCGATTCGTTTTCGCACGTAGAAGCATTTGTAATTCTGTGCAACCAATGAGACGTAAACTTTGCAGAAAAGAAATCAGTATTCTGTCGATAGAGTTTCCAAGTACAGCGTCCCCTTAATCGAAGATAATCACTCGTGGAATTGCGGACCGATGTTCGTTTCTGATCGGTGACGGATCAACGTCGCTCCATGAGCATCGGACTTCGAGCACAATGACAAGCCGTAAGTAATTAACTCCGTCACACTGTCATTGTCAAACCAAACTATTGTCTCGCACGTGTTCGAACATTGCGAAACGGATGATGCATCTTGAGACACGCAGGACGCAGGCCGTAAGAGAGATGCGTATCGCGCGCGCGCGTAACAAAAAGTTCTCTCATACGCGACCCTCGAGCTGTACATTTCTCTCCGCTATCGAGTATTACATCGGGGAAGAGTTCGCACACAATCGCGCCTGCTTCGCACAATGTGTCGGGAAACATATTTTGTTTGAAATTTCGAAGAAGAGAAGCGCGAATATACGTAAGAGCGACATGAGCGATTTGCAATTCCAAATAGTCGTTATGTAACCTAAGGACCCGGTAAGCGCCGAAGTGGGCCGCCTAAATAGACCCGGTGTGTCCGACACGAGCCCGGACCCTCCCTTGGCACTGCTAAATCAATGAGGAGATACAATGAAACGGTAATAATGTATCGTGAGCTTCAGCTCCGGGCTCCGCTCGTTTCCGCCGCACAAAGGTGCGCACACAGCCATGAATAAATAAAATTAGGAGAAGATCGGCGGTTTCGGACGGATAAGTAGGACTTTCTCTTTCGCAGGGTGTTACAAAACGATTATTATGTAAGCCGACTTCGCGGACCGATGATGTGCTCGCTGATCTTGGGAGCTGTTCGCGCGTTACTTAGTAACTTCCGACCGGGCAGGAAGTATTCGGTCTCGCGGGCAGATTAATTTGCTCGGCCGAGAAACGCCGCGCGCGTCTATCCGAGATAAGATCGCGCCGGAATTGGAAAATATCTTTTCGGCGTAGAAGCGAAGGCGGTTAATATACGCGTGTATATATACAGAAGTGTATACACGAAGAGCGATGCGGCGAGCGGAGAGTGGAGTGTCGAGAGAGATGCGCGCTTTTCTAAATTGATCCCGATCCTCGGCCGATACCCGGGTAAGTTTAGTTGAAAAATAACACGACGGGAGTATGTAAGAATGTAACGCGCGCCGAGGACGAGCGTTATTTTCCAGCTTTAAAGCACGGCGGGAGAATCGGATATCGATAAACCATGGGGACCTCAGAAATGTCCGATATGCGCGCGCGAGAAAATACAAACGTCGTTTCTCGACGTCGTAATTGCAGGATCTCGTAAATCCGAAAAGGATTTGTCGCTCTCCGCTACACCGGCGATACGTCCGATTTAAGAAATGTTTCAAAAGTAATCCCAAAGTGTCGTTAAGGCACGTGTATAAATATACGAGTGTACGTCTTAGCGCGATTCAATGCATGCTAAGTGACGTCCGAGAGCGAAGTTGTGCGCTCGAGTTATCCGAAGAGATAGAAATGCGCGCGCGATAATCTCGCGATGTATCCCCCCCTCCCCCCCCTCTTCCACCGCTTTTGCCGCAGAAAATATATACACGTTCGAAAAGCGCGAGAATACGCGAGCTGTTCTAATACGAGGGAAAGTCTCGTCGTTTCAGCGTGCGTTAGCGCGCGCGCGCGTGCATGCGAAAAATTAAATCGCGGACATTTCCATTTATGCAATCCATTTAGCACTCGGCGCCTGGTCATTTATACGTAAACGAAAGAAACTGGGTGCTGAGCGTCGAAGGTCGCGAGAGACGTGCGCATCTACAGGGTGTCCCAGAGCCATCAAGTGGTCGACTCGATCGTAAATTCATTTTCGGGGTGAACTTTCGCTGGATTCTGAGTGAATTTAATCGGTGAACAGCTCGACCGGCGGTGGAGTCGCAGGAAATAAGACAGATTGTTATTGTTGTTAAAATAGGTAAGAAAGTTCTCCTTCTTTTTTTTATGTGACTTGTATATATTTAATACTGCTGTCACACAATAAGGTGCTGCCTGCCCAATTTCGCTAACGCAGACAGAATTACTATATTTTTTCTTCTGTTTTACTCTTTTTTATTTGTTTATTATATTTTCCTTTGGGTTATTATTGAATTACGAATCGTACATAGCCAGAATTTTCCGTTGATGATCTTTCATCTGATAATCATCGTTTGACTTCATCGGAATTTGATGAGTCACCCTCAATCGTAGAGGGAAATTAATTTGGGTAATTATCTACGTTAGGGCACACCTTGCCGGTGACTTTCACCTTCACATATGTCATCAGTTACATAGCTCTGAGTAACAATCAAAAAGTTTTAACCGTCGATCTTTGTTCATTAAAAAGTTACTAGCAAAAAAAGCTTGAAAATTTCCTTAGCCCTGTGATTGGAGAGTTACATACTCCGAACTCCCATCCGGAGGCTGCGCCCCCGGGAACCTCCGGTAAAAGACTTCGCTTTCTTGAATCTCTGATTATTTTCAGTTAGACGTCTCGAGAGAGAAGCCCCCGAATGGGAGGGGAAGTCTCGAGGGCAATTCCACGTCGCCATTTCACATCGCATCAAATTTACATGCACATCATCTTCAACCGTAATAATGCATGATGTCATTCTACGCCCGTCTCGAAATACAGTTAGTACAATTTTCCAACTTCTTTTGTAACTTTTTAACGAGCTAGAACCTTGTGAGAGTTACTCGGAACACGACCTTGGCAATATATGTAAAGACAGTATGACAATATATGTCGACATAAGGTGTCACAAAATTATGTTTTATTTAGGCAATTTCTCCTGTTGAAAACTTTCTAAAAAACCAAGTCCGATGGCTAAAACTTTTTAATTGTTACTCAGGGCTATGCACTCGTTAACATGTATGAAGGTGAAGGTCATCGGTGAGGTGACCTTCAACGTAAATAAATTACTTTAATTTATCTTGATCGAAAGTTCCGAAAGATCTTCAGAAATCGTTCTCGGGAATTGTCAACGTTATGCGCACGTATCACGGCCGGTTGATATTAGAATTCTGTAAAAGCGAATTTCACGTAAGAAATTGCTCGCGAGAGACGTAAATAATTTCGTTAACTGTTTGCTCACTTCGAACTGAAGTTTGTTAAGAAGAGCTTTTTATTCCCAATCACTGTTTTAAAACGAAACCGATTAATATCACGGAGGAGTTTTCATTTCAGGAAAGGTCGATTCCGTATTGTCCGAAGAGCTTGCGGTTAAAAGGACATTCGGTGTGGTTTGGTAACAACCTGTGTCCATACATGTCACACGAGCCCGATATAAAATTCGACAGATTTAGCGCGAATGGGAGATTATCCCGAAAGATTGCGCGAGATTCATGCTAACACACACCCATATCGCGCACGTATATCGCGTTCACGCGGCTGAAAGGAATAACCGATATAGGGAGAGGAGGTATATATATGTGTATGTGTGTGTGTGTGTATATATATTGAAAGAGGCAGCCGAGGAGAATAATATCGCATCATTTCGCGTGTATCGTTAAGTGATACTAATTCGCTGAGACACACTCACACTTGCATTTAGAAAAAGAGACACAGCAGCATAGTAGCCGTAAACAGGAAATTGTCTCCCCTGCCTCGCGAGATTCGTTTCAATATCAACATGAGATTATTCGCTGATGATTATGTCATCGGTCTACATAAAATGCAACATTTTTACATACAGATTTTAACGTCAACCATGCTTTACCGTGTTTCCGCGCGATTGCGCGCTCGGTGTTATATAACTTTATCATAAACATTCCGTTACGGATCAGAGATATAATGTATGCGTGTTATGCGTGGCAGCGAAAGTTTTGCAGATCAATATCGCGTGAATATGAATAGGAAAAAAATATATTTTACGCATACATCGTCGCTTAGTTTTTTTAAAGACCGACGGCATAATGTCAGCGAATAATCTCATATCGACATATGGAGAAAGATGTATTTTATATATTTTTTAAAAAGTCTCTCTCTCTCTCTCTCTCTCGTACAAATTGTTGCGAGAATAGATACAATGAATATACTGAAAGTGAAAGTGGAGAATAAAATGATTATTATATAATCGGACGATTAGGGCGAGAGCTTATCGCACAAAGAAATATGTGTATGCAAATGAAAAAAACCAGCCATTTATCTTTAACGGAAATGCAAACGCATAAAAGTAACGACGAGTTTTTCATGTATCCTTTTCTGATATATTTTACGAGAGGGCCCAAGAGAAAAAAAGACAGGTATAAAATAGGTCCTCGTAACGATGTATTTCTTTCTCCTCCTTTCTCTCTCTTTCTCTTTTTTTTCTCTTCATCCTTTTTCTCTTTTTTTTCTCTTCATCCTCTTTCTCTTTTTTTTTTTCTTGAAGTCGTAACTTTTTAACGTTCGCCCACAAATACAAGTGACGGTTAAGCCGGAAACTGTACTCCACGCTGGAGCCTATTTGAAATTAATCGGGCAAAGAGTCGCGTTATCTATTTACACCTCTCTCACGACGCGCTCAACCCGCTGAATTCGCTCGGTTATCGACAAACATTCTAATTCGGGGACAAATTACGAGCGTATTACGATTGAATTCCCGTCGGAGAGGAGAGCAGCTCTCTCCCGACACCGTTGTCCACCCGAACGTTATTGAAAAGTTCTCGCGGAAAAGCACGCGGACGTGGACTACGTTGGACGGACAACAAGTGCACAGAGCACAACAAGTGTTCGTCGATTTCGCGCCCCATCCGCGCGGATATCTCGACGGCGTATGTCGCCCCGGGGAAACAAGGAAGACGCGGCGGCGGCGGTACTTACGTGCCCAGCAGGTCCTTCAGGATATACTTGTCCTCGACGGAGGGCGACCGATCATCCTTCCCGTCCTTCTTGATCTTCTTGTTCGAGTCCTTCTTCCCGAAGAGCGGCATCTTGTCCCGCGGAGAGATCTCGCTTTGGGGGTTCCTCGCGTACGTATACGCGACGAATATATATACGTGTATATATATATATATATGTATATATAGGTGTATGTGTATATACGAGATGTTATATATACTCGTCACACACAAAAGAGGCGTACCGACCACGCACCAGTGCTCTGCGTCTCCCGCGTAACCACTCGCTGCGGAGACGCCGCGAACGGATCAGCGGCGAACGGAGGACGATGGTTACTCGCGAGTCCACGAAGGAAGAGGAGAGCTCCTCTCTCTCCACTTCCGCGTTCCCTCCGGCTGTGTGTACGTATGTATGTGTAGGTGTATGTGTGTATCGGTACGTGAGAGAGCGATCCAGCGACGGACGATGACGACGTCGACGATGACTACGAACGGCGGTGAACACGAGAAAAAGAGAGACTGACCGCTGTCGGTGGTCTCCGCGGCGCTCTGGGAAGATACCGCCGCCGCGCGTCGTATCAGACGCGCCGTCAGATCGTCATTCCGCGGGACGGGACGATCGTGAACCCACGACCTTTCGGATCGCGATAGCCCGCTCTCTCTGTCAGTCTGTCTCTCTCTCTCTCTCTTCTTCTTCTCTCTCTCTCTCTCTTTCTCACTCTATCTCTCTCCTTCTCAGAGCCGCGCGCTCTTTCTGCCCGTTCGCCAGCCGGCCGTCACTCTGCCACCGTCCTCTTCCCCGTGCCGTCTGTTTCACGAGCTCGACGATCACGACACGACGATTCCGCGGAGTAGACTACGACGTGTCCACCTTCCGCTCGCTCTCGTCGCTCCTCCTCTCTTCGCTCTCACCGCTCGGTCGCTACTTCGCCGCCGAGAGTCCACTAGCTACCGGGGGAACTCGGAGATTCTGTGTTGTCCTCGCTACCTCGTTCACCACCACTACTCCCGTGTGCGCGCGGGGTTCCTCCACGCGTCTCGCGTATCGGGCTCAGGGTCGCGGCCTCGCGCCCTCGCTGGCTCGCTCGCTGGCTGGCTCTCGCAGAGCGCCAGATAGCTCCCTCCGCGTCGTTCTTGCCCCCGCTCGTTCGGAGAGTGACGTATGTGCGTGCGATCGCGGCGGCTGCTGCGGCTGTCCGTCGCTTTATCGCCTTGCCGGCGCGTCGTCGCTTCTCGTCGCTCGCGATAAACGTTCGGGCCGCCTACCGCGGGTCATAATGCCAGTGTACCGACCGTCGCTTCTACGCGCGAGATGCCTTCCCCGTAGTGCTCTTCCTCGTCACAATGCACACGCAGCACTGCGGAGGTGACGTATATATACATGGCGTGCATGCGCGCGCGCGATTCGAGAAAATACTCTGGTCTGTTCTTTTCAGCTCAACCCGTTGCACTAGTGCGAGCACTGGTACGGTCAGTCACTGGATGGTTGTAACGCTTTGTTTCTGCAAGTTTCGGAACGCATCCCGCGTCCAATGAGAGAGTTCTTTAGTCATTCTCGGGAGATGTATTTTCCTATTTTCCTATTGGGAAACGTGGTGTGTTGCGAGCATAGAGATATAAGAATAGAGGGAACAAGCCTGTAAGTGGAAGTGATAGAAGAGGCAAAGAGAGAGATGGATGCCGAGTGTCCTATCTGTCTCTTTCTAGTTGAGCGCTGTGATTGGTTGTTACAATGAGCCGCCAAGACGACCACGCGACGTCAGGAGGGGAGAAAGCAGACTAAAATTTCGTTTTGTAAATATGCGTGCACATGTGTGTAGAATTAAAATTCGTTAAATATTCGAACGTTAACAAAATAATAATTGGACGCGATTTGTTTAAAAATGAGGCATTGTTTGAAATGCAAGGCGGAATCTTATCCTGGATGTAACCGCAGTTTTCACTCGTAAGAAAGTACAAATACGTAACCTCAAATAATTATATGTTATTTTTTCCTACATTTAAAAAAATATGTAAATGTGTAGGCTACCGAAGGATGTAGATATAAGGCGTAAATGGTTGAATATACTTCAACTACCTTTGTATTTTGAAGTGAAAACAGCATATATTTGCAGTGATCATTTTAGCAATGACAATTTCTTTGAATTGGATGGAGAAAAATGTATAGCTATATCGTCGTTGGCGCGGCAACCAATCCCAGCGCGTGACTAGAAAGAGACAGATAGGACACTCGGCATCCATCTCTCTCTTTGCCTCTATCACTTCCACTTACAGGTAGCATATATCCCTTGTTCCCTCTATTCTTATATCTCTATGGTTGCGAGTGTTTTCGACTCATCGAAAAAAAATATCGCAACCGTTTTGTGACCGACTGTACAGGCGAGGCAAATCTTCATGAGTGGAAAAGAACTATAAGGGCTTCTGCCCACAGGACGCGGCAATGTTTGCACGGAAGTTCGTGTGGTAGACAATCAACAAGCCGTTTTCTGGTAAGAAGTAAAAGTTTATTGGCTGCCGCATGAAATTCCGCCGCGTGGCAAGTGGGTTTCCGCGTCCTGTGGTGTCCAGAAGTCATAAAGCCCGTATTAGATCACGGGTTGAATTGAAAATTGACCAATCAGTGTAAAGTTCACTAAATTTCACTAAACTTGAACGTTGATGATTTTGCCCATCCCTACTTCTAACAGTTGCATAACAAACGTTCTGCTAAATGCGATCGTTATAGGCCTCGCTTTATGTTTTTGTTTACGCCAATTCGTATGCGAAAAATCTGAACAAGGCTTTTAGCGGAGTAGGGCTCTTTGCTAATTAATTGAAAATATTTCATTGCTGAATACAAAGATAAGGCATTGAATGCATCCAGTGATCAATTATTTCTGATAAAAATAAAGGATGTTATGATTTCGTTTAGTTTGTGAATAATTCAAGGCAATATGACTTACAATAAGAACCATAAGATAGTACTGCAAGCTATTATCCATGAAGGTGCCATGGAAGAAGATCATGGGAAGCAATTAATCGAAAAATTATTTGGTATGTGTGAGTTTGATGTAAGAAATAATAGGATAAATACAATTTAACATTTAAATTAAACATAGGATAAATAGAAAAACATTTTAGGGCATGATAATTCAGCGGAAGTATTACACAGAATAAATACAAAGTTACAGCCTTTAAATATGATTATAAAATACATAAATTGTGAAATCACCGGTCTGTTATATTGGGTTTTTGCAAATACAGCGCAAGATACAAGTATCAGGTAATGTTATACATATATTCTAAATGGATATACTTTAAAATTAATATATATTTTATATTTAATGTTTAAGACCTCAACTTGAGTACTCAGAAGTCCATCTAACTCTTCTGCGTACTATATTTTCTGAAATTGTCACATCAGACGAAGGTCATGTATCAAGTACATGGTGTCTCAATCTGTGTCCCTCGTCAAATATAAATTTATCTAAAAATAGTGCTCAGATGTTTTTAAATGATATGGTTGAAAAAAAATGGTTGTTTTGCAAGGTATCAAATCTTTGCTATATAATTTGGATTTTATATATATTTTTTTATATATATCTTTTCTTCAAAGAAATGATTTTTTCTCATTAAGATGTATAATTCCTAGGATGGTCAGTATTATATAGGGGTGAGAAGTATTGCAGAATTATCTCAGTATTTCAAAGATTCGCACGAGGATAAACTTCGCACTTGTACCTTGTGCAAGCAAACTCTCTTTTATGTAAGATTATTGTAGAAGTAATGAAACATGTTTCAATATGTTTTAATAATTGATTTTATTAATGACATAATTATCTGAAGAATTTTACACAGGGTCAGAAATGCGAACAATGTGATGCTGTAATACATCTTTATTGCTTAAGTACCTATACAAAAGATCAAAGCAATTTAAGATGTCCTAACTGTGACCATAATATTTTCAATCTTGATTGTTCAGGTAATTTTTACCAATAAATATAGATTTTGTTTTTAGCTGATGGTATAATTACATTTTTTTACATTTAATATATTTGCTATATTTGATAGACCATTTTAAGCAAATATGTCAATATTCCATAGTTTCTTAAGAAAATACATATTATTCAGATGATGCTAACAACTCTCCATCAGATACAGAAGTTTCCATAAGCAAGACAAAAAGACCGACTCGGAAGAGGAGAAAACATTAATATCAGACATTTCTTTTTAATACATTATTTAAAAAGTTACTTTGAATATAATATAAAGACGTAGATCTGCCTTTATTTTTATATAAAAATTATGTACAGGCCTTAAATAATACTGAATAAAACTTTATATTATTTGCTGTGATTTTCTTCAAACTTTTCTCTTAAATATTTAAGACCAGCCATTATATTATCCTCATTTATACTGCGTGGCAATGTTTCTTGCTTGCTTATGTGAGTGGCATTGTCATTGGATTCTGTATACGTAGTAAGGTTTTCACCAGGTAAAGGAATATCCTTGGCACTTGGCAATTTATGTTCCTCCGTTACGTGTGCCTTGGAATAATCATATGTAACACACGAATATTTGCTGGACAAGTGTGATAATGGATACGAGACGGTTGCTTGTCTCTGAGATTGCAATTCATTAGGTAAACTTGTAGCAAGATTCGATGTCGATTTCGTTACATTCCCAAGTAGTTCATGTCTTGTGTTATCCTTTTCACTAACTTTACACTGTGTTAAACTGTCTTTATTATTCTGACTATCACCAGTATCTCTAGCAACTGAAACTGGCTTATTAATAGCGATAAAATCATCGCTAGCTTCATGTTTTTCTAAATCAGTGCTGTCTTTGGTATTGTGAATGGTTTTCTGGGAATTACTTTCTGAGTTATCGAGTTTTTTATTATTTTCTTGATTGGACTGTTCACCAATACTTTGACTACTATTGTGAAATCCAGCACTTTTAAAATTACTATACACTGGCGCGAATTCCTTGATTCTCTGTGCTCTATATTTATATACCCATTCTTTTTGTGACATAACGTGCCAATGATCTCTCTTGCCCAAGAGATGTTCAAAGGCTTTTATCTTATCTTCGTCACTTATTACTTTCTCACTAGTAGCATTAATTTCTTTAACAGACTTATCACCATCAGGTCCCTCGGTAGATTTTTCTTCATCCTTCTCAACAGATTCACCATCCACTTCCTTGACATCAATATTACCTGTTTTGATGGTAGAATTGCTCTCTTGAGCTAGCTCTTCCTCCGTAGGTTCTGCTGGCAAGCCTGCCCTAATTCGCTGTCTAATTCTCGCTGCTTTCAACCTATTTTGCTCCATCCTCTCCTTCAATTCCTTAATGTCCTTCATTTCCTTCTGCTTCTTCTCTGTCTCTTTCCTCAAGTTCGCCAAGTTCTCCTGCTGCTTTATTCTGTGCTCCTCGTCTTGCGAAAATGCATAGTAACCAACACCATGGGTTCGTGCTTCGTCAAACAGTATATCTTGATAATGTATGTCAATCTTGTCCGCGAGCTTTTGCGTCTGCTCTTCCCATTTTCGTCTCATAATTTCGATTTCAGGTTCCTTTTCTTCAACAGTAGAGTATTGTTCTTCGTTACCGTCTTCCCTGGTATTATTAGCATTCCTCTTCATTATTTCCTGTTTTATAATATCATCCTTCCTCTGCATATGTGGGAGATCCTCCTGCAAACACTTTCTAGTACGACCAAAACAATCTTGATACTCCACCCAATTTTCCTCTGGTTCTATGGGATACTCATCGTTAATTGTCTCATCCACAAAATCATCGGATTCATCCATCTTGTTCTTAAAATCAACAAGGAACTTATCGTTGTTACTCTTCGATTTCTTCAATCTTTCGTACAATCTTGTTTTAGCTTCTAACATCAATCTTGATTTTTTATGGGCAATAATATCTTCTGGATCTACTGTTTCCTTTATATGTTTTTCTGTATTCTCCACATTAGTTTTTTTGGTCCTTTTCTTATTCAACTGTGGCAATACATTGATGGGCTCAGTTTTCAACTTAGCCTCGTTTACCTCAGCTTGTTTTCTCAACAACTCGGCTTTCAGACCAACCAAGGATGAAAAATTCACATTTATCTTTTTTGTCACATTCATATTTGGATTATTATCAATCTTATGTATCGCTGATAAATGTATATCACTCTCTTTGTATGAAGAGGTTAATAGAAACTTCTCTCGAGCGTCTTGAACAGTGGTACCGTTGATTGATGTCGTTTGCACGTTTCTTTATCTGGAAAATTAAATAACAATTAATTCATTAAATATAGCTATATTGAATTGGAAACTGGAAAATATATATAAATATAGCTATATTGGATTAGAAACTGAAAAAGATCCTTTCTTTCAACAATCAATAGTATATTTATACGTACCTATTTAGAGACGCAAAGTATAAGATTCTAGATATAATTATACAAGAGTTATAAAAATATTTTTTATAACATTCTACAAATGAGTGAAATTTCTTTTAACAAGATACGTAATTCACTCGAAATGACAGATACAACTTTAAGGTTATATTTTTTCTATCACCGAGGTTACGTTCTCTTTGGGCGCTTCGGCACTGCAACCGACATTCTTGGTCTATTCTTTTTAGCTGCACTACTGAACTGGTGCAATAAGTATATTTTGGTGCGTTCCTTTTGGGCGCTCACGCGCTGTAAGCGTCATTCTACCTTCTTTTGGCACATAATAAACAATAAAGAATAGAATGATGCGTAAGTGCCTAGAGAGAACGCAACCTTTATCTCGCTCTAACTTATTGCACTAGTTCAGCAGTGAAGCTAAAAAAAACAGACCACTTATTCATTCGGCTCGGAAAATTATTAATCTATAGTATATATAACATGAATGATAGATTTTCAGCGTTAGCTGGGTGAATTTGCTGAAACATAGCTAGAACAACCAAAATCCAAATTTACAATTAATTCCTTTAAGCGAAACAAACTTTCTTAGTAGTCGATAATTATTCTCTTTGTTCGAAAAATCTGTAACTGATATCTCTACGTAAAAAAAAGACGTTTAGAAAAGTGGGGAAAGTGTACAAGAAAGCGTATATTTAGCAATTTAACGTAAAAAGAAGTGTTTAAATTTAAAAGAATCGAATAATAAAACTCTCATTACAAACGATTTCTCGCAACGTCAGTTTCACACTCGACAATCACATTCTCGAGTTGCGTTCCAAAAATTAGCATTTAATTCATAAATCATGATAAAGAAATCTTTTTGTCCCGATTGGTCAATTAAATGTTATTCTACTCGTGCAGGAGGATTTTCGAATGCAACTTCGGAAGCAACAAGAAGCCTCGATACTTCCTCTGAACGCAACCTTCAGGGTGCAACCGATAATCAAGGAGAAACTCGTAGGAGGACTCGGACGTTTTCAGGAAACTTTCGAAGGATAAATTATCCTACTGAATATCATTTCGAAAATGCATCGTTAAAATACTGATGGCCGGTCCTTCCGGATAAAACGAAAGGCCGCCTATCCTTGCTGCCTAGCTGCAATCGAGGTCTCGAAGATGATGAGACGTTCAAAAGTTGCAGAACCGGCACAACTCGAAACTATATATATATATATATATATATATATATATAACACTTACTATATAGCCAGGGTGAAAGAAAGAAAGAGAGAGAGAGAGAGAGAGAAGTCGTATCTCGCAACTACGATGCTGGAATATGTATTTCCCTCTTTTTCTGTATGTATTGCGAAGGTAATGCGCATGTGTAGGATTGACGTCCCTGCCAATAGAAAAATAACATATATTTTAGCATATGTGCATGTGTGTATGTTGTGTCATCATCTGATCGTCGCGTTTGCGCACTACGATCACAATACATCCGTCCTTCGCTCCTGAGACGGCTCTCTCTTATCGGCAAACATAGGACAACTGGCTATATAGCAATATTACATATATGCTCGAAACACAAAAGCAACTGCTGCACTTTTCCCCCACCGCACCTGTATTCACGTGATGTGACTTATCAGGACTCGGCCGGAAATCGATCGCCGATTACCGGAAGATCCCCGGAAGAGTGACTGTTCAAGGCGTAGTTGCGCTCTTGTAGGTAAGCGTTGTTCACGGGGGAAGCGTCGTTCCGAGGAGCTTCGTCGGTACGCATCCGCCGCCGCCGCTGGAGACAACTGGAGACGTGGGAAGCATTCGGGACTTTTCGCTGTTCTTCGGTATCAACGGAGCAGGAGTGCACGCGGTCGGTCTGCCGGGTGTAGTTCGCTCATTTGAGCAGTAGCGGCAGAGTAGTAACAACAGCAGAAAAGCGGCAACGGCAGCAGAGCGGCAACAAGCGGTTTCAAGCGCGTGAACAAACACGAGTCCTTCGCAGAGTGGTCGGCGATTAAATGGCACCACGCAGGCAAGCAAAGCAGGCGGCGGGAAACGTGGTCGGGGACGCCAACGGCGACTCGTCGCCGCCGAAGAAGAAGAGGATCGCGGCCGCCGCGAAGCCAGCGCCCGAAGACACCGGTAAGCAAGCCAGAGCGGGTCTCCGACGAGGAAGAGCCGAGAAGCACGAGGCGAGTGAGGATGCGGTCGCAAACGACGCGAGCCCGCCTAAGAAGGCACGTGGTGGCAGCGGCAAGAGCAAGAACGCCGCCGAGCCGAAGCCGACGGAGACAAAGAGCGGCAAGTCCGGCAAAGTCGCCAAGGCCGAGGAGTCGGTGAAGAACAACGATGCTGATGAGAAGGCGGCAACCAAGCAGACGCCCGAGAAGAAAGCACGTGCGACGAAGACCGCGGGTGCGAAAAAGGCGGGAACGAAAGAACAGCCCGGCGCGAAGTCGAAGGGCAAGGAATCCAGCAGGAAGCCGAGGAACGTCACCACCAGCGAGAACGGCGCCAGTGGGAACGACATCGTCGAAGAAGACGCCGTAGCCGCGCCGACGAAGAGGACTCGCGGGAAAGTCGTGGAGAAGGAGAATGCTATGCCGGCGGCGCGAGCCGCCAAGGCATCGAGGAAACGCGGAAACGCCGAAGAGAAGACTGCCGCGGAAGCTGGGGACGTGGAAATTGCCGAGGAGGAAGAGGCCGCCGCAGCGGCAGCGGTCGTATCCGACAAGAAGCCGCGCGGCAAACCGAAGAAGGCGGGAGCACAGGCTGCCAATGAACGTAAGCTTTGAAGCTTTTTGGCTTTCTGGCATTCTAGGCCTTCGTAAGACTCAAAGTCAAAGTTTGTTACTTAACGCGGTCTCTCAGGCAGATCCTGAATATTTTCTCGGCCGCGTGTATTGATATAAACAAAAAAATTTAATAAAACGACAGAAGGTAGATGCTTGGTTTCCAACTTAACAGAAATTCATTTCCAAATTTATCGAACAACCTAAAACCTGTGCCTCATTGGACTTGTCACTTCGCTGTTACCCAATGTGTAAAATCATGTAAAACTCTTTGTAAGATAATAGATGATAAAGAATTTACCTGTTGATACGCATTTGAGTTCTTATTAATACCTATTAAGCTAAGTTCACTCTCATAGCTGTTGAGTCGTAAGAGTTTTCCGCTGCGTTAGCGCTCGAGCAGTTGGTGCTTTCCATTTGGTGACACAAGTCGACACAGGCATCATTTTGTCTTTATTTCGCATTCAGTGAACAACAAAGATGGAATGATGCTTGCATTGACTCGTGTCACTAAATGGAAAGCACCAATTGTTTCGTCCACCCGTAACTCTTTATACTATCTTTAGCAGAGGTGAAGCCCAAAGCTCGAGGTAAAAAGAACACTGCAAAAGCAGAGGTTGCTAAACCATCGGCGAAACATACAGAAGAGGAGGAACAAAGTGTCCGAGACACAGCTGAGCAGGAAGATCGCGCAAAGGCGGACAATGCGAAGAACGCTAAGAAAGGAAACGCGAAGAAGGCAGCTCCCAGAGGAAAGCGCAATGCTGCACCAGAGAAGACCAATGATGCGGAAGCGGAAGACGCGGAGATACCCGAGGCCGATATTCAGGAGAATGATAAAGTAGAGGACGTGGCACAACCCAAACAACAGAAGAAGAAGATTGGAAAAGCAGTGACAAAGGAGAAGACCGAAGCTAAAGGTAAGCAGAAGAAGGGACAAGCGACAGCTGCTGCGGCAACGACTGTCGTAGACGAGAAGGAGACGGTGAAGGATGCGAGCCAGGAAGATGACGCTACTGAAACAACGAAAGCAGCATCGGAAACAAAAGATGAGAACGATACGAGCGTGACTCCGAGCGACAATACTTCGGACAAGATGGAAGAGGATAAAAGTGAAGCGTATAAGGCCGAACTTCCAGAATCAGTGGAAAGTGGGGAACCGATTAAGACTGAAATTCTGGACAGCGAGACGGACATTTGGATAAATAATGAGAATTAATGCCGAGTGTTTTCTAGAAGCGGAGTATTCCTTAAGATGCCTGAATGCTATGATGTCTTGTGAATGGAGAGGTAATATCCAAGGGTGTTTCCCATTTAGCGACACGAGCGTCATTTTGCCTTTGTTCCACATTCAATGAATAACAAAGATAATATGATGCTTGTTGTCGACCTGTGACACCAAATGGAAAGCACCCTAAGGCTGTATCCGTGTGTGTGTGTAAAACTCGTAGGAGTTCAATATTAGGTCATCCCACGAGTAATGTAGTTCCCTGCCGGTGGACGAGGTTCTTGTCGGAGGCGGAATAAACTGTTTTAAGTAAAATCGCATGAGCAAAATATGAATATATAAACGTCAGCTCTCGGACTTCGTTTGCACGGCAGTTGAAGTCACCTTAAAGCGACTTGTTAACACTCGTTTAGTCCACGTCGGCGCGACGCCATAGTCGTCATATGGCATGTAACATCGCTGAATTGTAACATCGGGAATTTGCAAATTCGATTTTACAAGCTGGTGGTTGCATGCAAACATGCACGAAGCACGTGGGGTGCCACTGAACCGGTTTCAGGCCGCTCTGTAGACGTAGTCTTATTTCTTAAGCCAGCGGCACACGATGCTTGTTTTCGTGCTGAATTGTTTGCTGGATAGAAATACTGCATTCTGATTGGTGCATTTCCAGTAATGGATGGCAATACATCAATCAGAACGCCGTATTTCGATTCAGCAAGCAATCTAGCACGAAAACAAGCATCGTGTGCCACTGGCTTTAGATCGGGCTAAAAAGGATGCAACGCAAAAAGCCGCGTCGCTTATGGGATAACCTGATATTTCAAACATATTTATCGCAAAACACACTCGCAGTGTGAACGGTCGGAGCTCAAGAGGTTTCTGTAGAGGTATTCTGTACTCTATTGGCGATGTCCCCCCCCCCCCTTTTTTTTATCGGTTTCGAGTCACCGAAGAATATAATTTGCGATCAACAGCGAAATCCATGTGATCTCGTGTACTTCGTAAGATCGAGAGCCCAAATACATACACACATACACACACACACTTTGTCATTTTTGTAATTATCCTGTAACTGACAGGTATTTTCTTGGTTCCCTTGGTTTCCCTTTGGGGGGTTTTTTTTTTCTTTTTAATGAGCGAAGCACCGAAACAAATATGTCAATGTAGTACGGACTACCGCTACTGATGATACGAAACGCGATACTGTGGTGTGATGTTGAGTCGCGACTCTCAACATGGCACAAATTGTCAAATCGGGAGCCTTAATGGTGATTTAAAAAAAAGGGGATATTTATTTTTTTGCGAGGAAAAGTATAAAAGTGAAGTTTACATGGAAGAAATTTACACCATCGGCTGTATCGTATGATGAGAGTGTGTGTGACGAAGAAGGTTGTTACCGGAGAAAGTTTCGAGCACAAAACATATTTTTTTACCAATGCGTCTTTCCTCGGGAGCGTTTAAATATTGGATTTTCAGCTGTGTATCGATTATCATTGATGATGATGATGATAATGATGATGATGATGATGATGATGACAACTTAGTGCCATAAGGAAATTTGATAGAATTCAAAATTCTTGATTCTTATCCGGGCAATATCCGTTGTAGAGTATCCAAGAGATAAAATTAGGCGAGGATGTCATTATCCAGCGAGAATTCGGGATGTCTTATTAGATTTTGAATTATAGGTGATCAAGAGAGAAGGGCTGAAAGGAAAATGATCGTTTTTACCGTTGCCCGTGTAGGAATTGAGCGTATTACATATTTTTCTAAAGTGGAATTAACGATCTATATTTGACAGATTTTCCTTTCTCTAGTCCTATAGTTTTATTCGCAACATCTTATTAGTAAACGATGCAGTTGATTACGATCGCGCTCAACCGAAGACTCGAATTTGCGTTTCCCATCTTTTTCTCGTACAAAACAGCTTTCTGACATCGNCTTTTTTTTTTTTTTTTTTTTTTTTTTATACTCTTAGACATTACGATTATATTTAAACTGTCGTTGTTAACTAATCAGAGTGTTTGTGTTACTTTTAGAAGATACTTTATACGTATTACTCAGTAAATTTGGATGGCCGTATCAGTCTGCATTTTGTACAATTAAATATTACAACATTATAAGCGTTCTGTTCAATGATACTGTGTGTAACGTATTTACCGCCGAACGTTAAGATATCTAATACGTACGAAGTGCGTGTTTATTTCTGTATCATCCATAATTATTACCCTCAATAATGGAGATTTTCTTTTCACTTTTGAATAAATCAAGTTTCTTATGTTTTCAAGTACCCTTCCTAACATTCCGACGTTCACAATAGCTCTCATTTTGCAAGTATTGCATTTTGTAATTTCTATTTCGTATTGCATCATGCGTGCAAAAGTATCCTGCTGTTTCCTGTATTTTCTTGTTTCTGATTTTCCTTTTCATCGGGAATCGGCCATTCTCTCTTTCTCTCTCTCTCTCTCTCAATATTTGACTTCGGGCACTCAGAAGAGTGATTAGCCCCGACACCGTTAATAATGTTTAATTATGGAAGAATAAGTTTACACACGCCGAGGCGGAACGATTTAACGAAAAATATGCGGTTCAACGAACAAAGGCCCCACGAAATACGTTCGGATGGCTCGGCTATTTCCGCGGGACTTGGAAATCAGCTACTTTCGAATATCCATTCCGACTCGGTCGATTGTCGCTTCGAGTTCATCGATGTTTGAAAAATATCGATGTTCGCTTATTGAGGATGCGTTATACAAGCTGGGTGTGCCGATTAGCTGTCGGATTTCTAAAAAATTTCTAGAATCCCTAACATTTTCTCTATATGTAATGCTCATCGTCAAATATTTTTCAAACATCGACGATATTGCCCATTCTTAACCCGTCAGTTCCCAATGCACCCTCCAGGTGGCACAATATTTTTGACTTATAAACCATCGAAATAACACTGCTAACCTATAACAGAGCTCTAAATGTACAGTTTAGATACTAGTGGCTCTAAAACAAGTTGTCAACACTGAATAAAAGCGATACATAAGCGAAAAATATGAAAAATTCTGAAAAACTCAAAACTTATAAATTTGGTTTCCTTAGGTTCCGAAACATGAGATTTCCTAAGAGGAAACAGAAATTTGTGGTTTCAATTCATTTGAGAACTGACGGATTAATCCAGTCTCTTATTAAGCCTGTATCAGATTATGGATCGGCGATTGCGATTGAATTGAATTTGGCCAATCGGTGTAAAGTTAACTGAATTCAAATTTAGCGAGATTTAGTGAACTTTGCACTGATTGGTCAAATCTCAATTCTGATACGGGCTTTACAAGGACTCTAGGGACTTAAGACGCTACGGGAACTTAAGGCGGCACCTTCACAGCGTTTATGCGCGCACGTTGAAGAGCGGACCTTCGATCTTCGACGGACAGCTCAGCGACATCGAGAAGGTGCTGAATCGGAGTACCTGCGTCTGTAAGAAATTTGAGGAACGATAGACACTCGCGAGAATGGCGGCCATCAGTTTGTTGAATCCGAAAGCCGAGTTCGCCCGGGCGGCACAGGCGTTGGCGGTGAACATCACTGCCGCTAAAGGCATTCAGGATGTGATGAAAACCAATTTGGGTCCCAAGGGAACCATGAAGATGTACGTATTCGCCGACTCACGTGCTCGCTTCATCCCTCATTCCGTCTTTTCACTCGTGTCGATTCCTTATATTAGGCAATATTGGACGCAAACAATGTCGAGACAAAATCTTCCATCTGTCCTCGGCTTCCGATCGTCAGGATATCGCGGCGTGACGCGATATCCCAAAATTTCCTATTTCCCTTATTTGGACATATCGCGCACCGATTATGCCGGCAACAGGAGGCGTCAATGTTTCTCGAATGCTGTCAGCTCCTTTTCCTCATTCGAGATATATCAAGAACGCTTTTTTTTTCACGATTTTCACAGCGTTTCTATATTTGTAATATCAGTAGAAATCAAGAAGGAATAAAGACAGAATGATGCCCCCATTTTTAATTTGTGAGGATGTTTGACATAGCGAATGAATCGACCGAATTTACAGGTTGGTTTCAGGAGCTAGAGATATAAAGATCACAAAGGATGGTAACGTGCTTCTTCATGAAATGCAAATTCAACATCCCACAGCGTCTTTAATAGCAAGAGCATCTACTGCTCAAGACGATATGAGCGGTGACGGTACCACCAGTACTGTGTTAGTTATTGGTGAACTTCTTAAGCAAGCTGATTTGTACATATGCGAAGGACTACACCCAAGGGTCATCACAGAAGGTTTCGACTTGGCCCGCGCCAAGACATTAGAAGTGTTGAGCTCCTTGAAGATCCCTATTGAACCTACCAAGCAGAATCTGATGAATATCGCGATGACTTCTCTCAGAACAAAACTTCACCGTACTGTAGCTGACAAGTTAACAGAGATCTGTGTAGATGCTGTGTTGGCTATTCAACAGCCGGATCAAGAGATAGACCTGCACATGGTCGAATTGATGGAGATGCAGCATAGAACAGCGGTCGACACCACTCTGATTCGTGGTATAGTCACCGATCATGGATCGAGGCATCCTGATATGCCGAAAAGATTAGAGAATGCGTACATTCTCACCTGTAATGTGAGCCTGGAATATGAGAAAAGTGAGGTAAATGTGTGCAATATACTAAGAAGTAGATAATAATGTATATTTGACTCTATGATCCATATTCTTAACTCATTTTTATTAATAAAAGCGCCTCTAAGACCGGTATTCAGATTTTATATTTAAGATTGTCTCAAATTTATCTTCAGATGTTTTGTAGTCAATGAAATGTAGAACACCTGAAGATAAACTTAAGATGGTTTTAAACATAAGATCAGACTGTGAACACCAGCTTAAAAGTGGCTTGGAAGTCACCTGATTAGCTGAATTAAAAATCCTTTTGCACAATTACAATAGACACGTTAATGTAGGCGAGAAAGTTTTATAATTTATTAACTTCGCTGCGTTTTTCAAATAAAGTCAACTGTCCTCGCCTACATTAACATGTCTCTTATAATTGTACAAAAGGATTTTTAATTCTGTGCAACCAGTAACGAATATAGTACTAACAAATTTGCGGTTAAATAAATGCATAAATAAAACGGGACAACTCCAGAATCCTCTTAAGGCATTTTTATCGATAAAAGTAAGTTCAGAATATAGATGTAAATCCTAAGAGCTTAACGTGAAATTTTGTATACTTTCAAAGACTCGAAGGAGAACCTGGTCTTTTCAATCTCTCCGCGAAAAACGTTTCCGAAAAATTTTTCCCCCTTTTTATGATTTTTTGTTGGTTCCTTTCGCGGAAAAATAAAAAAAAAAGCAATGTTTTAATCGTTAAATTTTGTTTTCAGGTGAATAGCGGGTTCTTCTACAAATCAGCCGAGGAGCGCGAGAAATTAGTGGCTGCCGAGCGTGTGTTCATCGATAATCGTGTACAGAAGATTATCGAGATGAAGAAGAAGTTATGCGACGGAACGGACAAGTCGTTCGTCATCATAAATCAGAAGGGAATCGACCCGCAATCTCTGGACATGCTCGCGAAAGAAAACATCATGGCGCTGCGTAGAGCCAAGCGCAGGAATATGGAGCGCTTGGCGCTCGCGTGCGGTGGCGTGGCCATGAATTCCGTGGACGATTTGAAGGAAGAACAGTTGGGATGGGCTGGCCTCGTCTACGAACACGTCCTGGTAAATTTCTATTTCCCGTAAGACGCGCTTTTAACACGGCTGTCGTCGTAACGTTAACTTCAAAATGAATCTTTTATATTCTTACACATTCTATTTCGTTTCAGGGAGAGACTAAGTATACCTTCATCGAAGAGTGCAAAAAACCGAATTCTGTGACCATTTTGTTAAAGGTAAAGCGACCGATTATTGTTATTATTATATATTAGCAGATTCGAATAGTTACTGACGGGTTGACGCGACATCCAGGGACCGAACAAGCATACGCTGATGCAATTGAAAGATGCTGTGCGCGATGGGCTTAGGGCGGTGAAAAATGCGATCGACGATCGTGCGGTGGTTCCTGGAGCTGGTGCCTTTGAAGTCGCGGCCAGCCAAGCTCTTCAGCAATATAAAGAGAACGTTAAAGGGAAACAACGTCTGGGAGTTCAGGCCTATGCAGAGGCTCTGCTCGTCATTCCGAAGACTCTCGGTAAATATAACATTGTTAATCTAAACGTAAAAATGAGAGATGGCGAGTAAGAGCCTCGTCGCTGTTGAACAGAACATCGGTGTCGCGTTAATTGTTACCTAGCGTAATTGTTAATCTAAATAATTTTATTATTTACTACTAGTGTTATACTATGTCATACTTTTTTAATTTTTGTTTCTTCTATTTCCAGCTATTAACAGCGGATTCGACGCGCAAGATACAATTGTTAAATTATTTGAGGAAAGAACCGCTTTAGGGGAGGCAGTGGGGTTGGATCTGTCCACAGGAGAAGCTTTGAAACCCGTGGATCATGGCATTTATGATAATTATAATGTAAAGAAACAAATTATCAATTCCTGGTAAGATTTATTATAATATACTATTGAAAATTGGTTTTTTTTGTGGCGTGCAGTCACATTAATATACATTAATATACATTTTTTTTCACTTTTCAGCACGATCATCGCTAGTAACCTCCTTCTGGTCGACGAAATAATGAGAGCGGGATTATCTTCGCTAAAGGGCTAAATGTTAAACGCATCTTTCTTGTGGAATTTAAGAAATTCTAAGGACCATTAAAACTTTTTTCACGAAACAAGTTAAATTACTAAATTATTACTCATTTTGCACTGCGCCTGTTAACTGAATTTGCCATATAATCTTGCTTTTAATATGACCACAATAACACAATAATTAACAACATATTAAATGTTAATAAAGTAATGCTTCTTTTGTAAAAAATATCCCGTTTTACTTGCCGAATTCATAGCGACATAAAATTTCAAGCAAAAGTACAAAGTGTCTAGGAAAGTATAAATTCATAGTTATACGAATAATGTGAACGTCATATATTTTAAACAAAAAAACAAAATAAATTATTGAAATTAACTGAAAGGTAACCAGACGCGGACATACAAGTCTCTGATCCTACAAAAAATGGAATTATACTTATAATATTTCTTTCTTTTTAATTAAATACTGATATTGTGTTAGATGAGCAAATTAATTCGATGTCTTATATATATATAACGCAATTTAAAAATTAAATATTTTTCCGCTCTTTTGCGGTTCGCGAGTGTGGACCTCTATGTTTCCAAAACACCGTTTCCCATGACTACGTTCAAAAATCCTACTCGACGCGAGTAGAGTAGCATTTAATTGACTAATCAAAACAAAAAGAGGAAAGATTTCTTTATCATGATCCACCAGGAACAAGGCAAGTCATTTTGCAGCAGGACAACGCTCGGCCATATCAGCCACAAAGGAGGTAAAGAATGTCATTTTTGGGTTGGGAAATTCTCCTTCATACAACTTCTCACTCACTAGACGTATCTCGTCGAATTGCCCACCTATTCCGGTCGATCCAACATTACCTGGTTGATGCACATTTCAAGACAGTGGAAGAAGCCCGAACAAGGCTTATCGACTCCAAACCGCCAAGTTCCTTTCACGGGGGGATATTCGTCAGCTGCTCGATAGACGAGGCAAGAAAATTACGGGGAAATTATTTCAAACGCAGAACTTGTATTTAATTGTTTTGTAAATGAACTTTGAATTTTGTGAAAAAAAGGCGCCGAATTAAAAATTCACACCTAATACGGCATACGGTTTGCTAAGTTTTATTAAAAGTTGAAATCGTACATACATACACACGCACACAGAGTAATTTGTACCAGATAATTTATAAAAATCAAAAATATTTATTTGAATTATGGTACACGTATTATTTACAGTCTTTTCTAAAAACTACCTCTGCCTTCGCGATACTTAGTACACTCGTCAGTCTTGTCTTTTCATAGAAAATCTTCCTGATCCGTAACCGTATTCCATCACATGTTGAATGAATAGTTGAACGAATAGAGAAAATGGAGGTTGCAACGATGGTATACCAAGACTAAATTAAATAATCTTACTAAGAGCACATTATAAATACAGCTTATATGCTCTATTATTACATTATGCTAACTCGTCATCCTGACGTCCTCTTTTATATTATATCTATATACATTATCGCGTGTATTCATCAATGAAGTAACGCATCGCATGAGTCCGCACTAAATATCCAGTTTCACCTTCATCTCGACGAAAATAAGAAAGAGACATAAATAACATATTTACATCGTATAAGTGCATGACACATCCATTTCCTTTCATCTCGGCTCTGTAAGTACTTACTGCTGCTATTCCGAGCGAAGTGAACACTACACAATGCTACATGATACGAACAGCTATGTGATTATGTGAAAGAAAGAGAGAGAGAGAGAGAGAAATGTTACGACAATAGTATTAAAAATAGTTTCATTTTGCTACAGATCTCCGGATTCATCCTAAAACGTATCTTTGCCGATCATCACGCATAATTCCGAAAAAAAAAATATTTACTGAATTTAAGAAAAATAAAGAAGAAGAGACACGCTCTAATCCGGCAAAAGAACTCTCCTTCTCTTTCTCTCTCTCTCTCTCTCTCGCGCGCGCGCGCGTGTGTGTGTGTATGTGTGTATGCGTGTGAACATCACGTTGAACATATATACACTTAAAACGACACATTTTAACTAAAATTACGAATTTCAATAACATTAATCGCGTCACATTCAATCGTTCACCGCTTCCTCTGAGTCACGTTACCCTTCATCTGCTACATTACTAACCGCGATTATTTTCCCCGCACACACGTGACGTCCTATGATATACTAGAAAGTGACATAAATAAAAAAAAAAAATAAAAAGAAATGACTAAAACGCAACTGAACAGTAAAATATACTTGTACTTCGCCGTCGTGATCGCGAATAAATCGTATACGCATTGAAATCATAAAAAGAAATCTTTTCTCGTCGACGCGCCGCTTACACAGACAGATGATTCCTACGATGACAATCGCCAATAACGTCGCTGCTAACAGCGAACACGATCAAATCACTCAGGCTCGATCTCAGGGACCAACGAGGAGTCGAGCTCGTCTTTGCACGAAGGAAGTGAGGAAAAAGAACGAGACAACACAATCGCGAGAGAGAATTCATACGTGTCGCAAAAAGTTCGCGGAGTACTTGGGGTCGTGCCTGATGTCCGCCAGCACCAACCTCGGATTGATGTTAATCAGTTGGGCGAGAGTGGTGCAATTGACTTTCATGCTGTGGCCGCCGAGCATCATGTACGTGCTCACCTTGGCCAGGTTCACAGGTTCGCACGGTACGCGGTAGTGCGAGGGCAACGGCATCTCCTCCTGCTCTTCCTCCTCCTGCTTCTCCTCCTCTTCGTCCGGCCTCATGGCCGGGCTGCGTCGCTCGACCTCGCGCAAGTACCTTGGCAGCGGATTCGTGGACTTACGCGCGACAGCCTTGAAGGTACGCGGGCTCGGCTTAACGTACGAGAGGACCGATTTGGCCGTGGACTTCTTCGCCACCGCGTGACTGGTCGGTCGACTTGCTTCGGCGACGCCTCGGTCCTGGCCAACCTCGTCGCCCGTCATTTTCGTCCGCTTCACCTCCATGATCATGCTCTGCACGACCGCGTCGAAGTTCGCGATGCTCTCGATCTTAGTGACCAGACCCGGATGCTTCTCCGAAATGTGCGCCGACACTCCCGCCGGCGTTTTAAACGACTGATCGCAGTATTTGCATTTGAACAGATTCACGTGCTTGACCACGTGCTTCTTGATTGAAGCGAGGAAGGGAGAGGGGTAGGAGCAAACCCTGCAAACGAAGTCCCTCGACTCTTCTTCCTGCTGCTGCTGCAGTTGATGATGATGATGATGATGTTGTTGTTGTTGTTGTTGTTGCTTCTTAAAGTTCAGCGGTAAGTGCGAATGGAACATGTCCTGGTGATTCTTCATGTCGTTGTCCGTCTCGCAGAGCTCATGGCACCACTGGCAGACCCATCCTTGGCCGGCTGCAGTGCTCGACGAGTCGTCACTTCTCGACGGGCTCCTCTCTCCCGGCTGACCGGCGAAGCCGCGTGGCGACTCGGCGTTCTTCGTCTTCTTCGCTTTGCTCTGCCTCTTCTTTTGCGCCATCTGAATCATCTTCCTCTTGTACAACATCGTCGGTATCTGTTGGTGGCTGTACTTGAACGGCCGGCCGCCACCGACACTGGACGCGTTCGGCTCAGCGTTGTTGGACGAGCCCTCCTCCCGGTGCATCAGATCCCAGTGTTGCACGAGAAAGTTCAGTGAATGGCTGCGAGTGTTGCAGTAGCCGCAGCTGTACACGGTCGTTATGCTCGGGTTCTCCTCGTCGGCGGAGCCCACTTGTTCCTCCTCTATGTCATCCGTGTAGATGTCTATGCTGCGTTTCTTAGACCCGCCGCCGTCGCTCCCCGGCTCGCCGGTTCCCCGTATCTTGAACGGCAGCGAAGGATGATTCACCTGCCAGTGGTCGACCAGCTCGGCCTTCGCGGAGCAGCTGTACGTGCAGTACTGGCATCTGATCCTGGTGAGGTGCGAGCGCATGTGCGACTTTAGACCGGTGTAATTCAGAGCGGCGAAGCCGCACAAGCCGCACTTCTCCTGCGGCTCCGGCCGCGGACTCGGTACGTTGTTGCCCCCGTCGTTCTTCGTCGTGTCGTTCACGCTCATCGGCTTCCGCTTCTTCTTGATCTTCGCCGGGCAGATCAGCCCGTATTCCTTCTCCCAGAACTCGTCGGTCAGGTCGGGCCCGCCCGCGGTTGGATTGTGAACGATCTTCATCTCGCGGTCCCGGTGCTTGGAGCGCATGTGCTGGCGTATCATTTGCTCGGAATTGGTACTGCGGTCGCAGTAAGGACAGAGGAAGCCCAGCCGCTTCAGGTGCGTCAGCTGAACGTGCAGCTTGAAGCCCCGCCGTCGGCTGAACTTCATGTCGCAGTGCTTGCACACCAGTTTCTTCTCCAGCTCCTCCTTCTCGAAAGCTGCGCGCGAGTGAAAGATTATTATTATTATTACTATTATTATTATTATTATTATTATTATTATTATTATTAGTGATAATAAATGAAGTATAATGCATCGATTCTCCTTAAAGCCGACGTTACAAAAGCGCAATCTCGACCGTTTTAGTATTGTCCGGTATTTTAGGAGTTGACTTTTCAAGTCGTTTCACGAGGAAAAATTCGTACAAACATGTACACTTGAATATTATCCAATTGTCCTTGCAATTAGCAAGAGATTGATCATTAATTGCATTGATCTTAAATTGCTTATCTCTAAATCGTGTCGCCTTATCTACTACATTCTCCTCGGTCTATCCTTAAATCCTCATCCAAAAGCCTCTCGTTTCTTTATCTATTTCTGTACGTCACAGTATAGATTGGCTTAAATGAGTTACGGTTAATGGAATAGCGGCGAGTATACACCTTGTGCACTTACATTTGTCGCTTTCGGACACGTCGTTGCTCCTGCTACTGTCGAGCAACTCGTCTTCCTTCATGTCGATCACGAGATCTTCGTCGTCTCTGCTGTCGCCATCGTCAATTTCGTCGACGATTCTGTCAGTGCCTTGGAAGATGTCGTTCCGCAAGGTGGTTATCGCAGGTGCGAGGTCCACGGCTTTCGTGTCGGCGTGGGTCATCTTCGCTGGCTTGATAGCTTCCGGACCCTTAACAGGCGCGGCCATGTGCGCGGTAACGGCCGCTGTTGGGCTTTTGCCGATTACAATGAACTTTTGAGACGCCGCTTTTATCATGTCCGTCTGCTTCTTCAATAAAGTTATCACCTGCAAATCAGACATCGTTTTAGTAGCGTTTACTTTGATTAAAATTCGTTGTGAATCTCTAAATAAATTTTACTCCAATATATTTGCGGAAAATTCACACGGCTCTTAGATAGAGAATATTATACAATATAAATTCAAACATGTTTCAGGGTGCCTCAAATAGTCCTGATTTAAATCCCTGTGATTTCTTTCTCCGGGGCTTTCTCAAAGAAAAGCTTTCTCCAAACAATAATGCAACTGAAAGAATTATTCATTCAGGCTTGTAACGAGATAATAAATGATGCGTGCCGACGAGTGATCAACAATTGATCTGTTGTTCTTTTTAGCTGGCTGCACACTAATTCGAGAAATTTACCGAAGTATTAAACGTAGTCTACAATGGACAGTAGGAGTATGTCTATAAGAAGCAAAAGTAAGAAATTAACCAATCATAGTCGATTGTTCTCCTTACATTCGAATATGATTAGTCGTATACATTTCTCGAACTGGTACAGCTAATTCATCTAAAAAGAACAGATCACAATTCGTGTGCGAGAAGTCACCAGGCAGAACGGTGGTCACATCGGACACGTGTTCCACAGAGAATGAATTCCACGAAATTATCTTTCTTTTGCCACGTTCACTCCTGGCATTACACAGCGAAGAAAAATTCCATTCATGAGACACACGGTGGACCATATCGTGCACCACCCTGTAAATAATCCAATTTCAACAGACATACCCAATCTTCGATCGCGTTGTCCGGCGAGAGCGGCTCGTGATCTGGGCGTTCTCCGTTATGGTGCTTCGAGAAATGTTGCATCAACGCGTTACGGTTCACCGACAAATACCCGCAGGCCTTGCAGTGCCACCTGCAACAAAGGCAGAGATCCTCCGTCAGTCGGTGATACTCGACGATCCTTCGCGAAATTCGCGAAAGCCCCGGCCGTAAGTTCCACCTCGCTCACCTCGCATAATTCAATTCCCTGTAAAGATGGTCCCTCATATCGTGCTTGTACTTCGTCTTAAACTGGTTGCAAAGAGTGCAAATGTACATGTTGCCCTCCGGCTTGCCGTAAGGCCCGAATCTACCCGTGTCCGAGTCGTTGACGTCGCTCAGCTCGTTCCCCCTCGCGTCCTCGCCGGCTGCTTTGTCGGTGGCGCCGCGCGAATCCGACTTATTCTCCCTTCCACCTTGGCCGTCGCCCTCCGCGGACAATTTCTCGCACGAGAGAGACCTCTTGGACTTCTCCTTGGACTGCTTGTTGTTCTCCTCCAGAGACGCCGACTTCGCCACTTTCGCTTTACCCAACTTCGTCGATAGCTCCGTATCGCTCTTGCGTTTGCCCAAGGACACGCCCTTCGTGGACGAAGTTTCGGCCGGTGGCGGCGTCTCGTCCTCCTCCTCCAGGAGAATCCCGCGGATGTGCCGTACTCGCGGCATGTCCCTCCTCCAGAGCGGCGTCGTGTCGAACGGCTCGTCCTGTCCGACCTGCTCCACAATTTCCGTGCGCTTGTTGACGCCCTTTATCCTCTGATACACCAGGACGAAGTCGACGTTGGGGTCGTACGCGTGCTTGCTGCTTATGTGCTGCTCGAACAACACCTTGCCGCTCGTCTTGAACGAGCACACAGCGCACTTGTATTGGCACTTCTCGTCGTGCACCGCGGCGGCGTGGTTGCTCATCTCGGCCTTGTACGCGCACTTGAAGTCACAGAGATTGCACTTCCAGTGATTGCCGTCCGGATCCGGCACCTCCTCCTCCGCGTCCTCCTGAATCGGCTGCTGCTGCTGTTGCTGCTGCTGCTGCTGATGATGTTGGACGTTCTCCGTGCTGTCGAGTTCCCTTATCACCTTGACGAACGGCCTCTTCTCCGGATGCTTGTCGGCGAGATGACGCTCTACGACGTACCTGGACGACATTTCGATACTATCAGAAAGCATAGAAGGTGCGCTCGAGTCGATAAAAGAAGCCGTGAAACATGTGACAAGTAATTTAATCTCCTTGTTCTCTCTCTCTCTCTCTCTCTCTCTCTCTCTCTCTCTCTCTGTATCGATCCCTTCGAAGGATCGATTGGAGAACCGTCTCATCCGCGTTCATCGACTTGGTTTTATCGAACATGCCAATAATAATCATCAACAATTGTGGACTACAGTCATACTTGTCAAATGTTTCAGAACAGTGATATCACATGAAAGTGCAAGTCGGATCAAAGAGTGTGCATATACAAATAATATGATCACACACATAGTAGTTGAGCATATCATAGATATATGCAAACCTTTGGTAATGATGATGATTGCAATGCGAGCATTTGTAAAGTCTCGCATCGTGCATTTTCAAATGAACGCCCATTTTATCAATCGCTATATTCTGGCTATCCTGACCAGGTGACGGTGGGGGACAGTGTGGGCAACGGAAATACGGCTCATCGGAATGCAGAGCCTTCAAGTGATTCCTCAACATAGCCTCATTTACCGTCAGGTAATTACATTCCGCAACGCTACATACATATCTGTCAGGGAGAGAGATAGAGATGACATGTGTTTATTTATGTTTCGTAAACCTTTCGCAAAAATCGTATCCTGGCATGACTACGTTACGGATTATCGCGATCGCGTACCTTTTATGCTCCGGCACGAATTTCGGTATGGCGTCCTCGTCGCTCTCCTTGACCGCCTCCTTCGGCTTAGCGCCCATACGGCCGTTCTGATGCGAACTACTCGCCAGATTCACCATTTTGTCGAACATCCTCTCCTTCTTGTCCAAACAGGGAACGGGATTGACCGGTCCGGTCTCGGGCACGGTCTCGTCTTTCGCGTGCAGCTGCAGATGCCGGATTATGTTCGTCCTGACTTTCGTGGTGTACGGACACACGGCGCAGTGCACCTCCCGAATGTAAATCGCCTGACGCGGCAATCGATCGATTTCGTCGGGACTGAACGACAATTTCTCGCTGTCCAACGTTGACGCCGCCTTCTCGCCGGCCGCATCGGGCTCTGTAAGCTTCAGACCTCTGCGCTTCTTCGTCTTTCGCTCGCCACTTCCGCAACGCTGTATAAGTTACACTTGTAAGGAAATCACGGCAAACTCTCCGAAGAAAAAGATAACTTAGTGCTATAATAATATCTGACCGGTGGATTCTATGCACTATTATTTAACTACGTTAAACAATTGTCTACTACGTTTCATAATTTAACTACGATCAGCAATTATTTAATACGTTTAATTATTAATAAAAAAGAGATGAAAAGTTCTTAGGTATCCGATCGGGAAATCGAAGGAAGGAAGTATTACGAGAGAGAACACGGAAAGCTTTTGGAATGAATGAAACTTGGAGAATCCAAGTTAAGGGGCGGTATTCATAGTCAGATCTTATATTCAAGGTTGTCTCAGGTTCATCTTTAGATGTACGAATATAGTTTCACCGGCTACTCGTCCTCTTAGCAGATGTTCCTATTCCCCGTTTGATCGCCTACGCAGCATCCGAAGATGAACTTGAGATAATCTTGAATACAAGAACTGACCGATGAATACCGGCCAAAGATTCGGTTCTCTCACGGGACCTCCTTCCTCTGTTAAATAAACTACGAGGAAGGTACTGACAATTGCCTGCACGATAAAGAGACCATCGACCGATGGATTCGTCGGGTCCGCCGGCACCAATTTCGTGTTCTGAAATTTGTGCTTCGTCTTCATGTGTGCCGTGGCCTGATACGAGACCGGGTACCTCATCTTACAGAGGGAGCACCCGAAACGCTTCACACCGTGAACCTTCAGATGTTCCAGAAGAAAGCCGACTTTGATGAAACGTTTCTTGCAATGCGCGCAATAAAAGTTCTTATCGTTCGCGCCGAAAGTGCACTCCTTGACGTGCTTCTTCAGCAAGGGCGGGACAGTCGCCGCGAAATTGCAGCCCTCGTAACCGCACTTGTACAGGTCGAGTCCTCGAAAGCCGGTGTCCTTGATGTCCTCCAAAGTCAACGGCCGCTGCGCAATTGTCGCTGTCGCCGCGTTCTCGGGATTCGTGGCTGCTTCGCTAGACGTAAATTTGTCGTCGGTGGTGTCGCACGTTTCGGGTTGCTCCTCGCTCTCCATCTTCTTCTCCTTGGAGGAAGACTCCGGTTCCGTCGTTTGTTCCTCGTGGTTCTCCGCGACCTTCTTCTCGGCCGGCGCCTCCGCGTTGTTTCCGGGATTCTCCAGGATCTCGATGTCGCTGTCCTCGGTCTTATCGCCGGCGGATGTCGCGACGTTGCCTTTGGAGAACGAGTTGGCCGTGAGGCTCTTCATGAAGTCGGGATTGTCGAGGAGATTCGTGTTGACGAACTCGTCGTCGGCGCAACTGAAGTCGCCGGAGAACTCCAACGAGTCCGCTATTGTGTTCGAGTCGTCCGTGCAGGAGAGCAGCTCCAGCGGCGACTCGTTGAAGCTCTTCGTAGTCGCGTAGTCGCTCGGCTTCTCCTGCGATCGTATCAGCAACGACCTGTTCTCGTTGGGCTTGCCCGACGGTTGGCCGCCGGGCGTGAGCTGCCTCGACGGGCTCTGCTGCTTCGGCGACGCGTCGGCGCTCTTGCCCGCGTCCTCGTTGGCGGCACCGAGGAAGGTCGCGTCTCTGGGCTGCTTCGTCGTTGCGACTTCCGCGGTACCCGGGCGACGACCGTCCACCGTCCCGAGGAAGTCAGGCTTCGCGATGTTTATCAGGCCGGCTCCCTCCTGACATAACACAGTTTCGACGTTATTCGAGTCCGTGTACGTGAGGAGTGTCACTGTGCCCGATGAAATCTGCACGTTTACCGTATCTGTCGCAGGAGCGGCGGGACGGTCGCTGGCGTCTTCTTTGGAACCGGCCGCGCCAACGTTCACCTCGTTAGCATGGGGTTTCAAGTTCCCGTCGTCGTTGTAAGTCCGCACAATAAGTTGATTCAGCACGTCCTTGCTTGCCAACTGAAAATTCATCGCGGTTTTATATCGGCGCGACACTATTTCGACGGATAATTTCATCGTCGTTTTCACGCTAATCTCGCGATTGACGTACTATTCGACACGTTCGAAGCCTCGATACTTCGGCACATTCGACATTCGACGAAATTCGAAAATTCGAAGATTCGAAACATCGAAGCTATTACCGGAATAAATAATTTTGGAGCACGACAAAATGTTGTGCAATTAGAGGCATATGGTTTGGACCAGATAACATTGAGGCAACGTTGAGACGTTATTTAGACACAAGTGTGTTGTTTCTTTAATCCAGTTCTGAGATTTGTATCTGTCTAGTTTAAAGCGAGGTGAAGGAAGGAAGCATAAATTGTAAACAACAGATCTCGTTAACTTTATATTAAAATAAATGCAAACTTTGCCGTGATATGTGACAGATCATAACGCAATGAAAGCAGAAGTCACATTCTTTAGAACAGTAAATATCATTTGTGTAAATAATACCTACGAAAAAAACGACATTTCCAGTTCTTGATGTTTTGAACCTTCGAATTTTCAGACTTCGAAATCTTACTATTCGAAATGTAACGTGTCACAGCGTTCAGAAGTTCGAAGCCTCGGAAGGACGAAGTTTCGAGTATGAATTTCTAGCTCTGATACATACGTGTGGAGGAAGCGAGCGCTCCAGAGTCTGCGGCGGTTGACCCCAATGCCAAACACTCAAATGTTGGAGCATCTCATGCGGAGTGTCGGCGCCGTGTAAACAATACAGGCACTGGTACTTGGCAAGTCCGTGCGTCGTCTTGTAGTGCTGTGAACATCGGGAGAGATGCGAAATGAGATTACCTCCATCGAACGGGAGATATCAATGAGCCAGACAGGATAAGACACTTACGTTCATAAAGGCTTTTATCGTGTGATATGTGGATTTACAGAGATGACAGTTGTAAGTGGGCAATAACGTAGAAGACGAGTATTTTGTGCCCAGGTGCAAGATAAATGTTTCAGGTACGTAGAACTTCTTTCGGCAATCTGAAAGTAACATCACCGTTCAGTCATTTAGAAACGAAAATAAATGCACCGTTGTCGCACGAAAAGCCGAAATAAAATTCAAACGAAACATTGGACTCCCGATAATCTTGCAAATGTTTGTCGGTCTTTTTTTCAAAGACACCGGCTAGCGCGGGCAAAGAAAAGAAGAGGAAAGAAAGCCGAATACTGATAGCTATATTTTTTATTTTCTCGTAGACTACTTTCAATTTTCTTCCTCTAAGATATACTCGTGCTTATTATAATATAATCGATTGTGTTACGGCTTCTTCTACGGAGATCTTTGTGTATCCGTCTTTGTATATTTATACATCGATAATGATTACAAGCACGTTACAATAAGAACAATCACAACGACATACCGTCTTCACATATGAATGGCAGTACGTTATCGACACGATTTGTTGTATCTTCTTGCTGTGACATATCTTTACCCTTTTTACCCACTAACATAAAGAATTTAGTGTTGGGATGAGAAATCATCTGAAAAATATTTAGATGATTAATTATAACATATCATGTAGTATTTTTTGTTTCAACTATAGCACTCCATGTAACAGAAATGTTCAAAAGATATCCTAGAGACGTCCCACAGATATCGTATTAATTAATATAGTGTTAGAATGTTCGAATCTAATTATCACTCTGGATTATCACTTTGGACGTCTTCGAGAAATAAAAATATTTCATTAACGACTAGATGTGAAGATGAAAAACACATTTTCAGAAAGTGTTCGAAATGATGATCACTTCGAATGATGATCATGAATCAATGAAGTTTCCCTTAGTCTTAAAGAACCTGTCCATTTTGGGCCCCTCCTGCAGCTAGTAATGATACGTATACTGATTTCGATAGGGAAATTATAGACTTTTATAATATAAAATCTGATATCCGTTGCTGAAAAGGCCGCCGGAATCGGCAAATCGCTTAAGGAGTCAAAAATTTGCTCATCTGACGATTTTAATGAAACGAAAACGTTATTTGCCTTTTCTGCAGATGATAGGTATTCCAAATAAGTATCTCAAAGCAGTTTGTGCTACTTATACACCACAGGGAGGTGCCCTGCGTGCCGCGAGGAGTCGAATAAAAATACTCCATTTAACATATATCTCCAATATTTCAAGGAGTGCATCTCCGAACGGCGTCAAATTAGAGGATCATGTCTATGGAATATTTTGATCTCCCGACAATGATCTTCCATTTAAAGTCAGTTTTAAGTCTTGTTATTAGCCAAAAGGGGCCCGGGACTCACATAAGAATGGGCAAGGTTCTTTTTCCCCTATTCTCCTATTCTCGGAGAGGATGGGGTAACAGTTGTCACCTCACTCTGCACAAATAAATCAAGTAGTAGCTTAATATACCTGATGCTGCTGTACGTAACACACCGTAGAGGCACGGTAAAAGCAGTAACTGCACTGATACCGGCAATGGCTGTGCTTCTCCCACATGTGATTCTTCACCTCATTGCAGGTTGCCATGTATACGAAGCAGTAGACGCACTTCTGAAAATCGTACGGCGACGGGACGTTCTGCTTCTCGGCGTCCTCGCGATGCTTGTTGTAATGTTGGCAAAACAGCCCCATGGAATCGGTCGTAAAGTGGCAATCGCGGCTCATACACTTGTAGAAGTGGATCAGCTTGGACGGCTTCAGCATGTCCCAATATGCGTCCGTCGATTTCAACTTGGCAACGAGGGTCGCAATCGTTACGTCCTTGAGCTTCATTCCCGATGTATTCCGCACTACCTTGAGTACCTTGCAATTCGTTGCGGCCGTCGGAGCCCTCGTGATAGGAGTGAGCCGAGGGATGGCGATTTTAGCGTTCTCCAGCGAAATGACGTTGGGTGTCGGTCTGAATGCCGGTCTGGGGTGTATCGGCATGAAATTTGTGGCCAGATGAGTGGTGACGGCCTTCGTCGAGATCGGCATCTGATTGATGGTGTTGACCGGGATGAACGTCATAGTGTCCGACGTGGACGGCTGCGTCACCGTCGGTACGTTCGCATTACTCGGCTTCATGTTGTTCTTCTTCAATATCAATGGCTGGTGCGCTTTTTTCAGTAACAGTGTCGCCTTGTTCTTGACGGGCGAGACTTCCACCGCCTTCCTGATGTCATTTATCTGAGAATATAACGTGTCGAGGTGTTGAAGGTTGCAACAATGGAAGAACGAGTATCGGATGTATCGGAGATGTCTTGAAAATCAAAGACAAGATACGTCTGTGATTTACTTACAATAGGGTTTTCGACTTCACTGTTACCGGAATTCGGCGCGAGACTGACTACGTTCTCGATTTTTAAGAACGAACACTCCTCCTCCGTGTCGGTCTGCAATATATCCGCCGTGCTCTCTGACTGCGGCAGATCTAACGATCCGTCATCTAACGATCATATATCTTCTATTAATACAGGCACACATATGTCGTTTAAAAAGTAAGGAAAAGAAATAAAATTAATAAATAAAAAATTAATAAATAAAAAATTAATAAATAAAAAATTAATAAATATAACTATATAAAATAAATATTAAATAAATAAGATTCTATTAAGAACTTAAATTAATCTCTTCATACTTCGTAGAACATAATTATCGTAATATACGAGATCTGACAAAAAGGTTTGCTAACTCGATGTGGTATAATTGCTATTTATCTTATTGCTGATTATCGCTATGGCCTCCTTCAGAATAGATAATTTCCCCCTTGGAAAGTAACGTACCGATATCAGCACTTTGTCCATTCTTGAAAACAGTTTTAGAAGTTATTGCGGAATGACCTACAGAACAGTAGTCGTGTTTATTTTTCCCAATTCTGTCACAATTCTTTAATGATATTATCGTTATCGTTACGATGTCGTCGCACAAGTTTGACATATAGAGATAAAGCCACGTGTCGACTACGGCGTAACGATAACAACATTAAAGTCGTTAACGACACGTTAATGACTACAGAATACAGGCATTAATGTCATCAAAGTCATCGCTCCTTTATCTTGAGGAATAAAAAACGTCATCTGACCGGATCAGATCCCGCTATGACCTTTTGTCATTCAACTTCACAACAACAGTTCCAAAGCTCGGCAAAGCTTGCCAAAGGGAAGCTACTTTATTTTGAAGGGGACTATAGTGACAGTCAGCAATACATAAGGTATACCATGATGAGGTCGCCAACTTTATCGTAACATCCCAGATAGACAAAAATGCTGAACATAGTGCGCAAATATTTTTTTTTAATGTACGCTTTGTAGCGCCATTGTAACAGCACATAAAATAGTTTGAAATATTAAATATTAATATAATATAATAAATATTAATATAATAAGAAGTTTAAAATATTGTTTTGATTCAAGAGATATCGGTTTATAACGTCATAATCTTAATCAAAGTATTGACCTTCTTATTGTTACAATAATTCCGGATTAATTGCGTTCGCTCCTCCCTTTCGGGCGAAATAAGCAGCGATATATATTTGTGGCATCAAAATATCGCCGCAATTTTCACAGGATAGTCCTCTTTTGTACACTGACAGAATGCTTGTCGTATGACCCAACGAGAAATGGGCCATCGAGTCGACACATCAGATTGACGTCGAAACAATCGAAATTACGTCGAATCGACGTCGATTCGATGTTCATTTCTCGCTTCAACCCTTCGGGGATGACGCGCTTCTTAACGTACTTGCGCTACGTCACGATGCGGACAATATACACCGAAATATGTCTATCTGGGATCTCTTGTAATATTCTTGGATTTTCCACCTTATACACCGTCAGGAGGATATCACCTGACTATAAGTAAGTATTACAAATAAATAAACAATAGTCATCGTCTCGCTTCAGACACCAACCGGCACTGAGGGCTGACGCATCCTCTTGACTGTCCGACAACGGGGGGGCCGGCAGAGACAGCATGTCGCCGCTCAATCGTCTAAGCCTGAGGAAGTTCTTCGGCGGTCTGTCGCCGGTGGCCGATATCGGCAGCGTCGTTTCGCGGTGTCTAGGATCTTTCTTCCTTAACAGCGAGTGTTTAATGCTGCCGATCGAGATGACGTTGGGCGCCCTCGGGATGGGCGTGATCGGGGTCGGCAACTCAAGTTTGACGTCTTCTTCAGCGGCGGGCACTTCCATCGGTTTGACGCCTTGGAGCTGCGCGGCCAATCTCTGGATAGTCGTCAGCATCGGGTCCCGCGCCGACGACGACGCGTTGATGCTCGAGGTCTCCTTCAGGATCATGTTGACATCCGCCGGCTCGGAGTCGGACTGCTCGCTGCTGGAGTCCGACTCGAAGACCGGGGAGCGCCGCACGGCCTCGCAGTCGCTGATCTCGCCGTCGCTCTCCGTCGAATTCTTGCCGGGGTCCATCACCGCGAGCGGGTCACGGATCTTAGGTTCCGCCTTGTCCGCGTTAATGCCGCCCGCCATGTTCGACTTGTCGTTGTCGGTCGACACGCGAGGATCCTCCGCCTCGATATCGCCGGTCGTCGGTTGACTCGCGAGGCGGTCCTCCATGACGTTCGTCATACCCTCCTCCTCGAGTTTCGACTCCTCGTTCGCCGAGTCGCCGGCGAGGGGCAACTGTGCTTCGCTGTTCCCCCGTTGCTCCGAGGCCACGTTCGACTCGTCGTTCGTGACCCCGGAACTGCCGAGCGCGCATTCCGTCCGCATCTTGTCCTGTAACTTGTCTATTATAGACAAGCTCGACTTGGACGGGTTCTTGTTGATTTTGATACCGATATTCTCGACGATCTCCTGCATCCTCTTCTTCCGCTCCAGCTGTATCTCGACCTCCTTGTTCTCCAGCTCGGGCGGGCAGACAAATACACTCATGTTGCACTCGGTCGTGTTAATCGGCGCGTCCCCTTGAGCGGACGTTCCCGTGTCGGTCTCCTCCTGCCTGACTTCGTCGACCTTCTCCTCGGCTTTCGACTCGTGCAACTCGCTGTGGCTCTCTTCGTTGTTGTTGTCGCTCGTCTCTCGGGGCTCGGCGATCGCGTCGCTGACGTCGGTCGCCTGCGAGGTCGTCGTCTCCGCCGGTGCGTCCTCGCGCACCTCGCCTTCCTCCACTTCGGACACCGGAGCATTGCTCTCCTCTTTGATCTCCTCGGCGGTCGGTTTCTCCTCGGCACACTCCTGCGACTTCTGCGCGTCGGTCTTCCTCGCGCTTGCAGCCGACATGTTGATCTTGAGGATCTCGACGTCCGCCTTGTCCTCGTGCCAAAACGCCAGGTGCGCCTTCACGTTCTCCCGCTTCAGCTGCACGTAGTTGCACTCGCGGCACAGGTAACCGTACACGCCGTTCTCCTGCGGTATCCTGTCCTCGATCGTGCAGTCGTAGAACGTGTCGTGCAGCTTCCGGCACATCTTGTAGTAGTGCGTCCTCAGGGAGGACTTCGCCACCGCCTGGTAAGGACAACACTTGCAGTGGTGCCTGTACTCGCCCGTGTGCGTGGTGCAGTGCTCGTAGAAGGCCTCGAGCGCCATGTCCGCCGCGCCCTCCGTCTCGAAGTGGCAGAATCTGCAGCGGTACTTGATCCTCTTCGTCTTCTTCGTCGTCGAAGCGGAGGCCGCGTCGTCCTCCAGGCCGTCCTCGATCGCGAGCTTGGCGTCGGCCGGCTTGAATCGCGCGATCATCACCTCCGCGTCGGAATGATTCACCTTGTAATGATGGACGATGTTCTTGCCGACGAACAAGCACAGCTGGCACTCGTACCTGTTTTGGTCAGGCGACCACGCGTACTCAATCAGTTGCTCTTTGTTTATCCTGCGATAAAGCTCCTTCATCACTTCGTTGTACACGACCGTCGTCGTCGCTACCTTGGGCGCCTCCTCCTCCGTCGCGACGGTACTTTTTTCCGCGATGTCTTCCACGCTCTTCCGTACTTCTTCTCCCGTTTCTTCCGCACCTCCCGCGTCCGATTTCGTTCCTCCCGCTTCGTCCTCCCTCGGGCCCGCTCTCGGCTCCCCATCCAGCGTCAGCTTGTTCACCTCGTTCGAGAGTGTCTCTTCGGTCGCATTGGAAGATTCCGACAGCACGGTGAGATTGCTCGACTCCGCTTGATGATCCGCAGCGACGGGGCTGTCCGTGCTCGCGGGCTGTTTCACGACGTCGTCGCACTTCAGGGTGGAATCCATGCTCGCGTCGTCCGCTGATTGTTTGTCAACGGTTTCCTCGGGAATGTCGTTCGCCGTCGCGATCTTATTGTTATCCGATACCGACGACAAGTCACCTTCCGCGTTGTCCATCGAGACGTTCGTCTCGTTGCTCGTCTCTTCCTGGCGCTCGAGCTGGCCGCTCGCTTTCGCGGGAACAGAGGGGATCTTCTTCCTCTTCTTCTTGGTAAGTATCCCCATCTTCCAGCTGTTCTTCTTCTTCTTCTTCACCGACTTCTTCGCGCTCGTGTCGGCCGACGGGGGCGACGGACAGTTCGAGTCATCGTCGACGTCCGCCTCCTCGTCGTCCTTGTTGGACTTCTCCACCAGCCCCACCAGGATGTTGCTCAACAGCTCCTCCTTCGTCACCTTGCTCGCACCTCTCTTCCTGCCCGTCGTGCTGCTCGACATGGAGATGTCGGATATCACGCTCTCCTCGTCCGTGAAGGACATCGCGTCGTCGCTCTTGCAGTCGGTGAGCAAGGAGGCGCTCCTCCTCCTCGCCCTCAGGTTCGGCCTGCCGGCGTTCTTCGCTGCTCTCGATCGGAGCTTCGAGCTCACGACCGTCTCCACCGACTCTTGGTCGGACTGCTTGTCCGGCTGGAGGGAGATGTCCACCGCCGCCGCCAACTCGGAGACGTCTATGCTGAAGCTCTCGTCGGACGAGCTGTCGAACGCCTTGGACGCAGCTTCCAGCTTCGTGAGGTCCGTCTTCTCCACGAGCACCCGCGGCTCCTTCTGCTGCAGCATGCGCTTGCTCCGGCGCGGCAAACTATCGTCGTCGTCCTCTTCGTGTCTCGGCGTTGTGTCGTTGCTATTACTCCCGTTGCTGCTGTTCGGCTTCCATTCGGCCCGCAGCGCCAGCGGTTGGTCCTCTTCGCTGTCGGAACTCGGCGCCAAGTCCGGCTCCTTCGCGCGCTGCCTACGCGCCGGCCGTTGCGCGTCCTTCTTGCCCTTGACCTTGGTGGACTTATTGGACTCGCCGGTACCGCGGGATTTCGAGGAGGTCTTCTTGGACTTGGCGGTGCTCGCCGTCGACTCGTCCGCTTCGATACTCGGCTCCCTGGCGGACGACGCCTCGTCCTTCTTGGAACCCGCCGACGTCGAGCTCGCAGGCGACGGCTGATTCTCCTTCGGCAGCCGGCACATCCGGAATCCGGTCGCCGTCACCACGCCCTCGCTGATGAACATCTCCCGAATGTCCTCCTGCAGCATCTCCAGGGAGTTCCTCCTCTTCGTCTTCGCCTTTGGCTTGTCGTTAACCTTGTCGTTAGTCCTATCCGTCTCGTCCTTATCCAACGATCCTTCCTGCGCATCCTTCTTCGCGTGCTCAACGCCGACAAGCTGCTCCTCCCCCTTCCCGTCTTCCAATCGACCGTCCGGCGACTGCCCGTCGTTTTCTGAACGAGCATCGACGCCTCCGTTATTGCCTCCCGATCGATCGCTCCCTTTCCCGAGGCCATCTTCCAACTGATCATCCTTCCGGTTATCACCGTCGCAACGTTCCGTCGCGTCCTGCTCGTTACTCTCCTCCGGCCGCGTATTATACGCGGCCAATTCTCCGATCTCGCTACCGAGCTCTTCCGACGGGCCGTCGCTCTTCCTCTCGACTCGACTTTCCGCGGAACGCCCGACCGACTCGGCAAAGTCCTCCAGCGTCTCGGGGGAGACTGATTCGACTCCCCCGTCGTTCGCCGCCACGCTGGAGCTCAAGATGCCGAGCCGCTCCGCGAGACACTCGTCGTCCGAGCTGTCCGACACGATCACCCGCCTCTTCTTCCTGGTCTGCGACCTCTTCAGCCCGATATCCTCGTCCTTGTCCGAGCTGCTGCTCTCCGACTCGGACTCGATGATCTTCTGGATCTTCTTCAGCTTCTTCGCCTGCAGCGCTTCGCCGAGCTTCTGAATCAGCTTCGCGTGCTCGACCAGCTTCTTGCCCTCGCCGCACTCGAAGGACTTCCTGATGAGCGCCTCGATCCACTCCTGCGTCACTTCCTCCTTGGCCGTCTTGGCGCTGTCAGCCTCCGTTTCGTCCTTCCGATCCTTCTCCGCGATCTCCATCGACTTGACGATCCGCGCGGAGTCCGCTCCGCTGAGTCTCCCCCGCTTCTTGCTGGTCTCCTCGACGAGGGACGAGATGATCTCGTCCTCCCTCGCGAGCTCCTCCTGCTTGGAAGAGGCGTCCGGACTGTCCGTCGCGTTACCGCCGTTGCTGGTGCTGCTGACCTCAGCGATCGCGTCGTCCTTGTCCGCGCTCTCGGCCGGCGAGCTGCCGGCCTTCTTGCCGTCGCTCTTGGCGCGCGGCGGCTTGAACACCGCGCCGGCCTCCTTCGCCTCGTCCGTCGCCTGACTCGTCGTCGAGGAGGGCAGCGGCGGGGGCGGCGGCTGCGGCGGCTCCGGCCGTTTGATCTTGGGTATCTTGAACTTCTGCAGGCCGCTACTGTGACTCGACTTGGTGTCGATCACGCCGTAGAGGCTCTCCAACGGCGACTGCATCCTGTTGTCCGCCTTCAACTTGTCGGCGGTCTTCTCCTTGCCGCTGCTCTCGAGATCGCCGCGTTTCTGCGACTTCGGCTTCTCCTTGTTGCTGTTGGTAGTTTTCTTGGCGGTCACCGGTGGCGGCACCGGCCGCTTCCTCGGGTCCCTCTCGTTGTGAACGGACTCTTTAACTTTCGTCGGCGAGAAATGCTTATCCTTGGCAAGCCGGGGATCCCTGGCGGAACCGGGGCTACTGGCCTCCTTGACCGGGCTCGGGGCCGCGTTGTTGTGCTCCATGCGAACACGCGGGTCCCGCTCGAACGCGTTCCTGAAACGACCGGGATTCTCGTCTCGCGGCCGGTCCGACAGCCGACGTACGTCGCGGTTGTTGAAGCTGGGCCTCACCTCCGCCCTGTTCCTCTCGTTGTAGTAACCGTCTCTGCTGCGGCCCCGGCCGCCTCTGTTCCTTTCCCGCGACCACGGGCAAGGTGTGTCGGAGCGTTGATACGGGGACCCGGTAGCGGTTTGCTCGACGATGCCGATACCGCAGGGGATCGCGTTGTCGTTGCCGTACGAGGAGGGATCCCCACGGCCGGCGGGAGGCTCCCACGTCGGCCTCGCGTGGGAATACTCCGCGGGTCTGTCGAAGCCTGGGTCGTACGAGCTTTGACCCATTGGGAATGGCCTGTACGGCGGCCTGGGCCCGGCCCCGGCGTGCGGCGAGTCCACCGGGCTGCCAGCCATGAACATACCCATCCCCGGATGCGGCGGATACGGCTGCGGAGCGCCTCCCACAGGCATTCCGCTGTAAGAGGAGCCGGTCCACTGGGCGTTACCGAACGGGTCGTTGCCGGGCATGGAGGGCATCGGCTGCCAGTGCAGCTGCTGGTTCATGTGCATGTTGTAGTAGTCGGTGCCCTCTATCACGAATTCGTGGTCCGGCCTGGACGGAGGCACCACGTCCTTCCAGCCTTCCGACGGCGCGCTCGGACGCCTCTGGTACAGCGGCAAGCCGATTCTGTCGTCCACGTTCTTGCCGCTCACGTGAAGAGTCGAGATCGGCGAGGCTTCTTGGCTCTCCGACAGTCTGCAGGGGTTCTCGGCCGGCTTCTCCTTCACCTTCTCGTGGCCGTGAGCGTCGCGCTGGCGCGGGTGCTTCTCGTAGTTATCGGCGTAGCGCGGCTCGAACTTGGAGCTCGTGGAAGGCGCCTGCGGCGACCGATGCTCGGCTGCCTGCGGGACGGTCTTCATCTCGCTCGACTTGCTCTCGATCTTCGCGATCATGGCCGACGCGGCGTTGATCACGTTCGACGTGATCTTCCTGCCGCCGAGCTTGATTATGTGCTTGTCCACCTCCTCCCACTGCTTCTCGCTCTCCCTCTCGGCGGCGGTCTGCGAGACCATCTTCGTGCCGTCCTTCGTGAGATTCGTCTCCTGCTTGCCGGAAGGGTCCTTCTTCGAGTGCCTCGCGGCGTCCTCGGCCTTCCTCTCGCCTCTCTTCTCGTCGCCGCCGCTCAACAGCTCCTCCAGGTCCTCCATTGACAGCGGGGGCGTGGTGAAGATCGGCGGCGGCGAGACCAGCAGCGGCATCGGCGTCTTCGTCGGCGTCCTCGGCCCACCGTGGTCCTTCGCCGATCTGGGTGACAGGACCTTCGAGCGCGGGAACAGGATCTCAGGGTCGGGGGACTTGAGCCGCACCTCCGGAACGTTCACCGGCGACTCCGCGCGGATGGTAACCGCGGCTATGTCCAGGTTGGACAAGACCTTGGTCTTCTCCAGGACCGACGACAACCGCCTGGAGCCGCCCAGCGAAGGTACCGGGACGGTAGGAATGTTCGAGCGAGAGCTCATCGAGTAGCCCCTGCTGTCGGTGTTGCCGAGCTTCTGCGGCAGATTGCTGCTGATCAACTTGGCCGCGCTGGCCACGTCGTGACCGGCCAACGACTGCCAGTCGCCGGTCGCTCTGGCCTTGCTGTTGTGCTTCTGAGACTCCTCCAGCATGTCCCACTCCGTGAACACGACGTCGTCCGAGTGGTTCGAGTCCGACGACGAGATGTTGATGGTCCCGGGCCGCTCCGTGATCGTGATCACCGGGATCTTCGAGTTACCGTGTTCCTGGTCACTTTTGTGCTCGCTAAAGTCCGTACTACGCTCCGTGGGTATTATTATAGGCAGAATCTGGCATCCGGCGTCGGGACTGACGGAGGGATCCGGACTCGCCGGCGTCTCCTCGAACTTATCCTTCACCGCGTCTTCAGCCGGTGACTTTTCCGTTCTGTTACTCGGATCCGACTTGGCGTCTTCCGACGAGCTGAAAGTCACGAGAATTCATTGCTCGTTTGCCTGAGTGTGCGGACTCGATCGAACTCCCGTCAAGTGTCAGGTGATCGCTCGCGGACTCGTAGGAAATCGGCAGAAACGACACGAGTTCCAACGCGCTCCGTGTCGGAGCTATTTTATGTGACTCGTCAGCACAGTCTGGATCACCGATACCTAACCCACGTAGTGTTGTTACGTTTGTTATTAACCCTTTCGCTACAGCGAGCTGGAAAGTAATACGGCGTGTGCGACACACGCATGGTACACGAGACGCGGTTATTAGAGTTACGCTGGCGTTACATTTGAGGATGGCATGCATTTGAAGTTACTTTCTGGCGAAATTGATACCGCAGCGACGCGAATTGTTCGGAATATTTATATGAACCTGTACGGCCTTCGCACATGTCGTCCCCTTCGGAGAAGGATGTAAGACAGTAAAAAATTTTGTGTAAAATTCAACACATTTCACATGTCCCATAGTCGGTATAAATTTTGGTGTTAATTTAACACAAGTTGAATACGTTGCAAAGCAACATAAATATTATGTCACAAATTAACATAAAATTAATACTCATATGTTTAGTATATGTTAATATGTATAGTATGTATAATTAATATATACTAGTATGTATAACATGTCAATCGATACTGTAGTATAAAATATGTTATTTTACACGCGTTGAATATCCGTTTCAATACGTTTCAATAAAATATATTGATATTTCAATTGAAAGAAGTTTATGTTATTACATAAACACAAAATGTTCAATTAACACACGGGTATGTTCAAAATTTAACATCATTTTAACAAGAACCAATTTTAACGCGAATATAATGTTTTTTACTCTGTGCACGGCTTTTTCGTACATAAACGTCCACTTGTGTAGACGGATATGTCGGCGGATTAAAGATCGCAACAATTTCATTTCCTTTTCTTTTCTTTCATGAATTTCGCAGCTCATCTCGTGTCCAATAAGGGAATTAGTTCTTTAGCAACTCTGAAGATACATCTTCCTATTGTGTGAGATTCGTTCTGAAACTCATCCAAGAAAGAAAGGGTCACAACCTTTAATCTGCCGACTTTTTTACGACCTTTGTACTCTCTACATTTTTTGACGTGGAATCTCACTCAAAACAAGTGAAAAGAGACAGTATTTTCACTCGATGGGAAAACCCTGCTACTCAAAATCACAAGAGTGAATCTTACACTCAAGTTTAGAGTGGATTCTGATTCCATAGAAATGAATGTTTCAATCGATCAGAGTGAATTTGCTCCCGTGACGATGGAATACTCTCAGATTCACTCTTGAGTTTCGAGTGAAACCCCCAAGTTGCAGAATAACGTCAGAAGATGTTAAATTGACATTAGGAACGTCATATTGTCGTCGATATAATGTTCTCTGACGTCACTCTGCTACTCGACTCGATTCCAATATGGAAAATTGATTCTATATAAGCGGAAGATCACTTGAATCCGAGTGAATCCGCTGTCATTCTACTTTCCGAATAAGATTTCACTTCAAGAAATTTAGAGAATACACGGGCATTCATCTTCAGAGCGCGAATATGTACAGCTTTTATAGCAAAAGAGTTAAATATGTGCTCGTAACGCTTGTAAGATTATTTCATGATTATTTCGTTCTGGAGCCTAAATATCGAACGAACTGAGCACAAGAGTTCAGTGTGAACAATCAGAGACGCATGCGACACGAAACGTGTATTATTTTGTGTATTATGTAAATGTCTTATAATAGAAACATATAAATAGAAAAACCCGCCTTTCACGCCCCGTCCTGAAAGCGGCCAAACATTTTCACGTAATCATATCTATATTTATCTACGCTTTCTAATATTTTTGTAACGCGTGTCCATGTAACGCGTACAATATAAAATATAATGTAATATGATATTAAAAAATAAAAAAAAAATATATATATATATATATACTTACGTGGAAGGTTGCGAAGTGTTTCCATCATTTCGCTTAGTTGGCAATTGCAACCCAGGAGCATTTCCCTGAAACTCGTGTCGGATTAGAATGATTAAAATACTAAAGCCAAAACATGCACTACGAAAGCCTGAAAACACTCAAAAGTATAAGAAACTAAGGAAAAGAACATCACAGATGCTAAGAAAACCAAGACTCGGTCAAGCTATTACATCTTTATACGGAGAATAGGAGAAAAAAAATTCGTTCACAATCACTACCGTGTTCTTCTCTTTTTATTGTGTAATATACACGTGCATTAAAACGGGGGGAGAAAAAAAAGAGGAGTGCTCAACGTGAAGTGCGAATTCTGAGTCTCTTAGATATCGTGTTGCACGCTGATAACGTTGTGTATATAATTTTCACACGCTTGACTGCAATCCAAATAAACATATGCATATGTGACATTGTGTGCGTGTGTGTGCACGCGTGCACGCGCGCGCGTGTGTGTACGTGTACATGCGTATATGTAATTATGAAGAAGTGTCCAACTCTACAGATTGTACAAACACAAAAATCGGTAGAATGGTTTTCAGAGTTGAGTGTGCACGAAATATATAAAAAAATACATAAATACACAATTATTTCGCATTGTACACGATGAAAGATGTGAGCACAATAAGAGCGTTACGTCAACGTTCCCGCGAGTACTTTTTTTTATCCTTCGCAGATATATACATCGTGTGATTCCACAAAAAAACAACGAAGAACTACTTCGAAAGAAAAATATTCGAGTTTTATCGTTCGGTCGTTGACATCGTCTCGTATCTGGTTCACATATCTCATCGACAGAGCTAAGAGAACGTGAAAATCTATACAGAAATATATAAGCAAGCAGTATATATGTACATGTGCACGCATCAGCGTACTTACCTTTTCTACTCTATTGTGCAGTTTCTGTAAAACATCTTCACATCGCTGTAGCGTCTCAATTCGCAGCCTGCTTTGACAAGAACATTTCACATAAATACGAAAGAAGAGCAGAAAACTCAAGATCTTGAATCGAAAACTGTATACGCGACATTCTTCGTTACACTTTACTTTGGAGCAACGTTTCAATTAACCGACTGTTCACGCACTTTTGAACTTCGAAATAATAATTGCTAATAATCTCGAAGAGCTTTAACAAAATGGCTGACTTATAAGATAGTGTTTTATATCTTCAATCTTTGGCTCTCGATTATCACGTTTTTACCCCTTCTTTTCATTATATAGAGGATTGCCGTCAATTATAAATGTTCAAAAGACATCCTGGAAACGTCCCAGAGATATCAAAACATTTCCGGGACGTCTCTATGTCTTTTGAACATTTTGTGCAGCATGGGTTAGTTTAAGACTTAAGACACAAGATAGTCATTGTGCGTTATTCAAAGGCAAAGAAGACTTAAAACATTGTGTTGAACCGATAGGTCAGCTATTTTGTTAAAGTTTTAACGTGCAAATTATATAACAGACAAGTTCTATGTGCGGTCAATATAAGCGATATTTGCAACGGTTGGCTATGTGTAACTTAAATGTAACGCATGTACACTGTGTGCTTATTTATGTATGTAAGTTTCTGCTTAACATACTTTCGCTTGCTATTCGATAATATCCCGTGTAGGCTCTGCATTTTCTGCAACTGAATCTCCCGAGATTTGTCCTTAACGTTTTGTAGCCTCTCGATCATCGCTTCCAAGAATGGAATGTACTTTTGCATTTCTGCAAATTTCTTGTCGTATTCGTCCATCTTGTTCGTTGTATTCGGTCAACCTGCGTTCAGACAAAGAAACGTTTTTGTTTTCCCTTGTTCTTTGTGAAATTAACCATTGCCTCGTGCCTTTTTATTTAATTTCTACGAAATCGTTTGTCATAAATACTACACAAAATAAATGAAAACAACTTGGAGTAGGACATCACTTCTCGAAAATTGGGGTTTTTTGTACACGACAGAGAGAGAGAGAGAGAGAGGGAGGGGGGTTAATAACGATAACAAACTGCTATTTTATTATCGTCACTGTCGATGTTATTTTCAAAAATCCACATGGCGCGTTGAAACACTTACGTCCACATGATTATTGTTGTACGTGGTAGCACGTAACATCTTAATTATTGAGATTCGGCCGAAACTCGGCATAATTGAATATAATTTTGTCCTCAATTATCAATAAAATGTGCAAATGTTTGCGCCTCCGCCACGAAGAGACAGACGCGTTCTTCCCTGTCGACGCAGCCTTGAAAGATTTTCCCAGACAATTCCGCGTCGACTCGCTGTTGCAGCGCGTCTCAAATAGGCTCCAGCTTTAAGAGGCAGACCGGCGGTTCAATAAACGCCACCCCTCGCAGATGTGTAACATGTTACTCCGGTCATGTGCTTAGTGCCAGTTCTTCCGGAAACCGGATATACGTTCGGCTGGCTCGCATGTGCAAACATGCATGATTCTTCAGCACAATTCAACGCGAATATATATGTCGACCCGACTCCATATATTTAATGTAAAATGTCGCATGTATATATATGTAGCAAAATATTCTCTTCACTGTGTGTGAATCAGCACGCTTGGTATAAACTTCGTGTAATTAATTGGCACTGCGTAAGGCACATTTCACAAATCCGTCTGTCAGGAACTCGGACCGCTCGGAATCGCGATCGCCAATATAACGGCAAGATGCGTAGACGATGGAGGAGATGTCGGAGACGTTATTAATTATAAAAGCGTCGTGTATGTATATCGCTATTACACAGTGGCGTTCTTTCAGTGTATGAGCGTTGCATAGCGATATCGAGTTATTCCATATTTAGCTTATGCAATTTGCAGTCTCCTTGTCTCTCTTTTTTCTCCTTTCCGGCTTATATTCGATTCCGTTTTTGCGCTAGGCGATAAGTTACACGATAATCGCATAAACATCGCTTTTTCCTCCAACTGTAGACCAGATTCTGTGAATATCCGTGTCACTTGAAATAAATTACGCCTCTTCTACATGCGTGTGTGTACGTGCACAGAAAGCCGAAAGAGCTCGAGGGAGTGTATCCATCGGCGAGCGTCCAAGCTTCGTCAAAGAGACCAAATGACCGTGTCGCACTTCGACCGGCACGTATACCTCGCTGACGATCGATTATTTTCCGACGATATTCTGCACGCTTTGTTACCAGCACCGTGTTTGCAACGTATACAGGGTAAGCCATAAATCACGTGCTCTGCTATAGGATCCGACGGGCGATCGAGAGCCCCTCGTGAAATCCAAAATCGAGCAATTCGGTCGTATTTAACGTCGCAATGGAACATATCCGCTTCCTCGAAGCCGAGTCGATGAATTCATTGAGAAACGACGATTCGTTGCGACTTTGCAATTCAAATTATGTTTCACACGTGACGCGACAGTTTTCGTCTTGCGATCTGTCGTTTCACGATCAACTTCGCGATAAATATTCATCATTTCTACAATTTCCTGTTTTCGCCGCGTTATTTTCTGCAGGAGGAAATATGTATCCGCAATCATGTGTGTATATAAAATTGGAGATTTTTTTTAAATCCGCTATTTATTGGGCACCGTGTATATATAGTAGCACACGCAGTCGCATTAGGCTTACGCACTATGAAACATAAGTAATACGATATCCCTAGTATATATGTGTTTCGCTATAATAGACGTAAACTTTTTCACCAAAGCTATAGTTAATCATGGTGGTACCGCAGGAGGTATAGAGGTAGATATTGATCCAATCAACCCCTTCGTATGCGATGACGAAGTGCTTATGACACGAAAAAACAATTTTCCTTCGGTGATAATTATTCCATACAATGATCTTATTTTTAAAAACAAGTTGTTTGTATGGTAATATACAAATCAATTTACATTAATTGTTAAACGTATTACTGGCGAGCATGACGTGTCACTGTACGTGTTATCGCACGTACGATGAAAGCGATAAAAAGATGACAAAAAAATATTTACTATTTAGATAAGCGACATTAACATGTACTTAATCAAAGTGATACGGGCTAAAATAAATGGAAAGTGAATACACAGAAAAGAAATAGTCTTGAATTAAGAATAGATATTTTCACATATATATAAGCAAAGATATTACAATATTCTTTGAAATTTTTAGTTTTGAATTGAATTCAATATTGCGCCAACATGCAGATTCAATCAAATCAAAATTAAAAATCTTGTAAGATTATAATATAATATTCTTGCTTATATATAAAAATATCTGTTCTTGAATTAGGATTAATTTTTTTTCTGAGCATACAATAACCGATAATATATCGAACAAAGAATACTTACAGCATATGTATGTGGTACCATGTTTTAACTAAACACACAAGTCCACAAATGGCACATAGCAAGACGGATTAGAAAAAATTTAGTCAAAATTAAATTTCCGGTTTCCTATTAGGGAAACTAAAGAAAATTTTTGATTACTTTCATATAAAAGTACCAATATCCAGACATGCACCTAACCTGGGCACACCCACACGTACGCACGCTCACATACACACATTTATTATTTTGACTTTTAACTACGAATATCTAAATTTGCGACCATGAATATATATACACACATTTAGCATATGCATATATTTTATATTGAAATACTTGAAGTTGAAGCTTAATTACTGAAAGGCCAAAATAATGAGAATATCCAAGTTTAGATAAGTGTTCGGGTATTGATATTTTTATCTTAATCGTACTAGATAAATTTAAATAAATAAATAAAAATAGTATTAATATAAATAAATAAATGCTATAATTTTTTATTCATTCTTTCATGTTCAAACATCCCACAATCTTTCATGTGAATGAACAAAAGCACGCAGGATTCGTTTAAAAAATATTGTGGGCAAACAAACAAAAATATATATATATATTTCATATACTCGTTGTATGCATTCGCCGTTTTATTCGTGCCCTTTGTGGTCAGGAGGCACAATCTTGTGTGAAAGAGCGTGTGGGCCGGACAATGTATTCCGGAAACGCTATTCAACTTGTGTGAACTCCCACACACACGTCCTGGTGAACGTATATACTCCTTCACAGCCAGTATCTTGGAACATTCTGTGTGCGTGTGTGTGTGTGTGTTCATATTTTTCGTCATAGAATTTTATTCCTCTCTCTCTCTCTCTCTCTCTCTCTCTCTCTCTCTCTCTCATCTTGAGCAAACTTTGTCACCATTTCAATTTTAAATTGTTATCAATATATGATTCGAAAAAGTAGTACAAAATAGCTTATCAAAATCTTATATTTCATAACTTCGTGCAATACACATCTATCATTTTGTTTGCAAAACAGTACTTTAGATGTTTTCGCGCACTCTGACGACACCACGCACTCGCGTGAATCTCGTTTAAAAACGAGAGTACAGAACTTATATATTAAATGAATAAGAAAAAAGATTAGTAGCGTGAGAAATAAATTTGATTCTAAAATACATGATATTATACATAAAAAATACATGGCACTTTCTAATTGGATTGACAAATCAAGATAAGGCGAGACTCGAAGGCAAATGAATCACTGAGATATGTTGCGAGATAGTCGAAATTATAGATATTTGATAACCTAAACAGAAGTACCTCTTTTGGTGTGATAAAAACGGAACATCCCACGTATTACGCGGCGAACAAGTCCAGATGAACGAATCAACTGGTCGTATTCATTGTCGCTACGATGAATTCGTACGGATCACGAGTAAATTTTCGCATACGTACCAATATCTTAGGCCTTAATTATCGAAAGCACCAATGCACAGTCGATTATTGTCGTTACACCACATAAAAGATGGTCTTCTATTATATCGCGTCTCTTTCTCGCGCTCTTCGTGTCTCTCTCTTCTGTCTCCGTTTCTTTCCTCCTTTCTATTTCCCGTCTCTCTCCGTCCCACGTCACGTTTTACTGCGCATCTACTGCATGTAGTTTCATGATTTCGTGAAGTGGAAGAGAGACAAGAAACGGAGTCACACCGATGGGCAGTTCAACGCCTTCGATAGGTGGCGTGAGTATTCGTAGACGTAATGAATATGGCGGTGTTTAGTTGGAGAGCTGCTCGGCTCGATGCCGAGAAGTTCCGGTTCTCCATGAAGGCACGAGAACCGAGATCTATTCTATTCTGTCTGGGAAAGATTTTCTAAAAATCATATCTTCTCGACGTGTAATTCCGTGTTATTGTCTCTTCGCCTTCTTCTTACGGATATTTATTTCTCTTGTGGCACGGTACTACATCCAACACTCAAGGTCGAGTCCATTATTTCTTGTGTTTCTATCTGGATGCTCACGAATCCGAAAAAATAACCGACGACAATTTACATCGTTGATAACAGTAGCAGTACACGTGACCGTTAGTGACCACGAAGGATGCGCGACTGTCGAATAACGCCAAAGCAGCTCGTTACTTGTCTCGGTTTCCGTTTCCGAAGTAGGCAGTGCTGCCAATCGCGCTGTTGCTAAATGCTCGCCTAAACAAGATGGCTAACCGAGAACTCTCGAAAATGGACGCGATAAATGCTGACGTACGTGAATTTCTGCCTTACAATTAAAACGTTACTCCTGAATTCGAGTGTTTCGACACAAGAACAATATAGAACAATACAATTTGCGAACCGTGTATTTCGAGTTCTAATAGCAGCAATATGTTAAGCTCAAAACATTAAGCTCACCAATTGCGAAAAGTGGTTAAATTAAAAGTCAAAATTGATTAATCCCAATTAGAAATTAAAAAAAAAAATAACGATTCCTGTACCGTGAACGTTCCGAACTGTATTATATATTAAGCAAAACGTCAAACTCATAAATTACGAAAACTAAGTTAAAAATGAAAATGTTCGGAACCATGTTACGAAATAAAAATATCGGAGTTTTATTCGTGCGGGAAACTTGGCAAAGCATCAAGGCACTCGAGATTCGCCAATATGGCGTATGGTGCATGGCAAGATTAACAATTCAATCGTTGCTACCAAGACGAAGAGAAGAATGAAGAGTTCGAATCGACAGACGTGAAAATTCAAGGAGTTCGAGAATACCGGGTTCACCGGGGCAGATGCACGATTTACCGTCTCTTAATATTTAACTAACTAAAAATACCAAGCGAACGTTTTCCAAAGTGAATGTAGACAGATGCGAGACGAATCGAAACGAGCAGCTGCCGCATACCACGATCCCTTACCTACGAGTTCAAGTATTCTCCTTTCTCTCCCCCTTCCCTACCCTCTCTTTCTCTCTCCTTCTTTGTCTCCCTGAGAAAGACAAGATTGATTTACCTGAATGTATTGTTCCGAAATAAAATGTCTATCGTCAACCACATGAGACTATCCTTAGACGAAATCAATTTCATACCACCTACTCGTATGCAAACTGGCACGTTACAGAAGTAAAAAAAGCGTTGTGCTGAAGATATGCAACGACAAAAAATCGCTGGTTGGCTAATCGAATGAGTCGACACGAGGCTACCGATCACTGCAATTATGTCAAACTTGTTTACTTTATTAAACATACTTAATTCGAAACGATCGAAGAAATTATATACAGAAATAGCGCGTGCTGCGGACGTTTGATGCGGCTCGTGACGCCCACAGAAATAATTATGGTCGGCAACACGTCACTCGTTACGTAAACCGCGTCACTAACGTCGAACGACAGTAAAATCCTCCGACGTGACATTATAAGAAAATCTTCCGGTCTCTCTCTCTCTCTATCCCTCTCACGCCGAGGGATATCCGCGCGATGTGCAGTGACACGTCGCGATAAAAAGCGAAAAAACGAATTCTGTTTTTCTTTCTATCCGCCGGAGCGCCGCGGTAGAGAGCACCGCGGAATCCCTCGCGCTGAAACTACGCGAGAGCCGAGCTATGCACGGAGTCGCGCTCGTTTGTCGTCCGCAATGGCGACTGCGTGTGACAATAATAATAATAATAATAGTTGCGATCACTCCTCGGGCACGCGATGTCGACGAAAGGAAACGATCTCCCGTAACTCTCGCAGGGACGGAGGACAGTTTCGAGTCGGCGGTTTTTCTTCTTTTTTTTCCCCCGTCGCATTTCGGACACGAGTCCGAGGCGACGGAAGAGACAAACCGGCTTCTATTGCCAAGATAATTCGTCCGCACCTTCGCTCAGTTTCACCTCTACATGCAGCTATCGGCGCGAGATTGTCGGTTCCTTTCTAAAATTACCACATACAGCGCGAGAGGATCCCCCAACTAGAAACGCGACCCGTACTAGCCTAGGCCCGGTGTAGTTGGTGCAACCGATCCTACTGAATAAACCACCTGGCGGTGAGACAACCTTGTATACTTTTGCGCACCTGATAAATCATTACATTCGGTGCAATCTGCGGGCGATGCATCGATTCTCTCTCTCTCTCTCTCTCTTCCCCGTGTTCTCTCTTTCTCTCCGTCTCTCTCGAGTACGATCCTGCGTCGGCAAAGAGTCTCGGCCCTTTTATCTTTTCCGCCTTGAACGCTCGAGCAAATAAACCAGCGAGCGAGCGAACGAATTCGCAGCACGACGACGGGCAGCACGTCGTCGACGCGGCTCGCTTTCGCGCGATATACAAATTATACACCACACGCACACAATGTCGCGGTTAACGTCGCGCGGCACTGATCTCAACTCCTCTCCTCCCTCCGCTATTTCCTTTTTTCGAAGTTCTCTCGCAGCGCTCCCTATAGCCGTGCAATGCCGTGCGGGGAACTAGAGCACCAAGCCTGCGAGAGAGAGCGGTGCAACAATGACGATGACGACGTAGGCGCACGTGCGATGACAGTGTCGTCGTTGAGACGCCCGTGGTTGTTGCCGTGGTCGTCGTGTATCGACATGTCGAAGGGGAGCGACGACGGGGAACATGGTGTGCGCGCCGCTTGCATTACGAAGAAACGCTGGCGCCTATAAGCGCTCCACGGTCAATGCTCCTTTCCCCGTCCGCATCGCGGGGTAAAATCGTGAGACAGGAGACAGTGTGAGTCACTAATCTAGCGTAGATCAGTTACCTCGAGCCGACGATGCAGTTCATCTTTACGAGTCGTATCTCTCGACGCGGCGTCGCCGAAAGAGACGGTCTCGTGTGCGGAGCGTTTCGCTCTTTCTCTCTCCCTCTCTCTCTCTTTCTCGCTTCTACGCGTCCGTCAACTTTGCGCTCGCCGCGTTAAATCAGAATCGACACGCGTGTCGCGAGCTCTGGATTCTCGTGGATACATTTCGTTCGGTCTGACATGGTCATGCGCGTAGTTCCTCGCCGGAGCACAGCCGGTGAGACGGCGGCAGCTACTAACTTTTCTCTCTCTCTCTCTCTTCCGCAAGCGACACAACACGACGCCGCCGCCGCAGCTGTCTACTAAAACATGGATCTTACTCTCGATCTCGTAGATAGCTTATGCATAAAAATTCCCCAGCGGTTATTATCCCTAGGATGACGAAACAGCGTGACGAGCCGCACGACGAGAGATGTACGAGAAGCGTGTCCGATGTGCGACGCAAATTCCTATTGATTCGACGCGTCCGTAAAGCTTAATGCGACGACTTCCTGCGCACCTACGGTTTGACGAGGTTCCATTCACATTCCACCTGGGGAGCCTCTCTCTCTCTCTCCTCCTCCTCTCGCCTCGCTCGCTCGCCCGCCAGACTTCGGAAGTTACCGTATTCATATTCGATAGGCGCGATAGCACAGTCGGCTGTACACCACGTAGACGCGACAGACGACACACCATTGCGTCGTCAGGATGCGATCGCGTAGTCGATAAAAACATTTTGAATAAAAAACTGTGACCCACCCTGACTTGTCCACGTCTTAGTCTCGCGTCGATCCTTCCCTCAGGCCTTTGTCTTCGTCAGCTTTTACCCGTTACCTTCGTGCCGGATTATCTCCATTCGACGAGAAACCATCAGATGTCCAGAGAGAAGGAGAGAAAGAAAAAGAGAAGGAGGAGAGACAGACAGAGAGAGAGAGAGAGAGAATAATCAATAACCTAATCTTTCGTTACTTACTTACGGTTGATTCTCTCTCGCAGACGGTTCGCGACTAAGCGAGGTCCCGGAGGCCCGGTTATCGCGCTAGACACCGTGCCTTTACACATACATGATCGTCGTGCATGGAAATACGTTCCGAGGGACGAGCGATGCGCATCCCGAGCGCACGACGACAATACCTTGTCAGGTGCGATAGGCCGTGCAATAACCTATCCCGGTCAGATGGCCAGTCGGTTGCCCGCATGTTGAACTACCATTTCGGCCGGTCCTTCTCTTCCTTCAGCCGTACGGGATACACGTGTTCATCGTGGACTCTGCGCTGTCGGGGGAACCATTCCTCGCCTAGATTAATCGATCCACTGTGATTGCATCGTTCCACATCGTACATTCACGAAGCGACGGTGCGTTACGTATCCGACGGGACCGGCCGGTACCCGGGTGCTCGGCCGTGCCTCATAGGGGTACTCGGAAACGAGCCTGAGAGCGTGATCTCGCCCGGGAGGAACACGTTCGTCCGCCACCAACCGCGTGTGTATGTCGCCGACGCGCCACTAAACCAAATCCATTGATCGAGGCCCCATCGCGTCCGAGAAGCCGATTGATCGCTCTCGATCTTGGAAGCGCCCGCGTAATTGACAACGAAACTTACGTGCGTGCGTGCTCGCTCGCTCGCTCGCTCGCCTGTTTCGTCTATGTTTTCCTGACGGTTCCCCGCCGAAGGTCACCGACAGAGCGACGAAGCCGCGGAAACGATCAAACGGTATACATCGCGAAGGGTCGGCAGATCCCGCGCGAAAGTCCTGTGTTTCTCGCTCTCTCCCCTGTGTCTTTTTCTCTCTCTCCTTCTCTCTCTCTCTCTCTCTCGCTCGCTCACCACGATGACTGCGACAACGTACACTGGTTGCGGAGGAAGGGCGAACGCGACAACGAAGAGCCCGTAGTGACGATTTCGCATAGAACACTGCGACGTGTCATGGCCGATTCATCGTTATCGCGTGTTACGTGTGTGTGGGTATGACGGCGGCGCAACTCGAAAAACGGACGCGCACAAAAACCGATTTCCTTTATTTCTCCCTCTTTCTCTCTATCTTCCACCTGGCCCCGGACGCGAACGATCGATCTCCTCGAAATCCTCCGGACGATTACGCTCCCTGCGAGATGTCCTTCCTTTCGCTTTCCCGATCTCGCCGTCGTTAAAGTCCACGGAGAAACGGCTAATCGCGAGCTAATTGCGTCGGAGCGCGAGGGAACAGACAAAGGGCGCGCAATGCTATACGCAATGGCCGCCGGTGTATATGGCGCCGTGACGATACACGGCCTTGCCTCGTGCCGTCGGCGCGCGGCAAAGAGATCTATCATCGTTCTAGTCTACGCGCCCAGTGTGCCACTCGCCCTACCGGAAGTTCCGCGGCTCCGTCGTTGATTGCGACCGTTCGATCGATC